CAAGTAACTAATTAATCATTTCTCTCTTGCTTTCTTCTTTCTGTTCCTTCTTTTCCTCCCTCCTTCCTCTCCTCTTCTTTCTTGTGTGTGTGTGATAGTCTTGCACTGTACTCAGGCTGGCCTGGAACTCACAGCACTCTTCTTACCTCAGCCTCCTTGGTGCTGGGACTTTAGTCCTAAGCCACAACGCCCAGCTATCCCAAGTAATATCAAAATTCAGAACAGGCAACCAGGTACACAGTGTCATTTTTTCTGAGCCACATTTTTGAGGAGCAGCATCACTGTTTGTTGTTTTGACATGCTATGCAAATCAAATGAAAGCATTTTCTTCTTCCTCCCATGTGAGAACGAATTCTTCCAAGAGTTAGTGGTTGGAAGGAAGAATGACTTCACTATATTCCTGACTTCCTAGGTGGCCCTGCTCATGGTGGGGTCTACTGAAGTCACTGGGCACCCAGATGCCAAGTGGGCTGCTTAAAAACGGAGAGATGACTTTATCACACATGACGTGCGAAGGATGGCTGGAAGCCTGTCCCCAGCTGAGACTGTCACCAGCACATGAACTCACCAGCATGGCAGTCTTTGTTGGTAGACTCCCAGACAGTTCCAGGATAGTATAAATGAAGTGACCATTCTCTCAGGGACTCGTCTTAGAAACTATAACAATGTCACTTCTGCTATAGTTTATTAGGTCAAAGAAGTGAGAGTCTCATGTGACCCCCTGAAGACTGCCATATGCTCCCCCCTCAGGACCCCACACTCAATGGCTACACTTTGAGGTTAACACTCTGATGCTGTTGCTTGAAATTCTTCATGATTTTTGAACAAAGGCATTACATTCCTCTTTGGCACTTGGTCCTACACACATAGAGCCCCTCCTTGTCTTAAACTGTATCTTTCAATGGGGAAATATTAGAAATGTTTGTAGCCAAGGCAAGCATGGTGATGCGTATCTGCAATCTAGGCACACTGGAAGTGTTGTATGTAGGAAATGCACTGAAGACCAGGCTTGGCTACAAAAAGATACCCTATCTCAAGAAGTGCCCCCTCATATGTTGTCTTTTAAAATTACAATGTAGCATGCATTTGTAAGCCAGGGAACAACTTTCAGGAATCCATTCTCAAGAATGGAACTCAGGCCATCAGTTTCAACAGTGAGGACCTTTGCCATTTCTCTATCCCCAAATCATCTATCTGTAATCAGTCACAGACCACCTGCCAGAGATCTTACTCCTACTGTGTCTTTATGGCCAATGCACAGATTATGGTCAATTATAAAATAGAGATTAGACTAGATTTGCCATATGTTAGGATTAATACACATGGTAGGAATCTCCTACCCTACCACACCAGGTCTTTGCCAGCCCCTATGCATGGTCACCTTCGGGCTTGCTCAGTTGGTTGGCCACTTTGACACTGATCTGTGCTTTATCCAAGGTCAACATGAATGTATATATAGTTACTTGATGAGAAAGACGATGTCTTCGTATTGTCTCTATAGATGCAGAGAGCTTCAGGGTCTCAGCAAACCCAGATTTGCATTTGAAGAGTCTACAAAACCATTTTTGGTATTTAAAGAGTGTAGTGACATCTAGGGTAGTCCATGGGCTCCGTGAGAACTGAGGTCATAATAATAAGTCTTTTCAGATCACCAGTTGTTTGCACTACTTTATATGCTCAGGGGAGATCCAATAACAGGTGGTATGGCAACAATAACAACAAAAATTACAAAAAATCCCTCCTATTTAGCAAAATTTTGTACTATTTCTCTCATTGCCATGACAAAAAGTAACTTAAGGACGGGAGGAAAAGTGGAAAGGAGGAAAGGAGGAAGGGAGGGAGGGAAGAAGGAAGGAAGGAAGGGTTTATTTTTGCTCACAGTTGAGGGTACAGTCCCTCATAGCAAGAAGGCAAGAAGGCTGTTCACATTGCATCCATAGCTAGGAAACAGGGAGAGATGAATCCTGATGAATCCTTTCTCCTATGGACTCATTCTGGGGCCCCAGCTGGCAAAATGGTAGTGCTCACATTCACTTTTTGTCCATTAAAGCTCTGGAAAATGCACTCAGAGTCATGCATGTGCCTCCTGGTCGATTCAGAATCCTGTCAAGTTGACAGTGGAGATTAATCATCACAAATGTAGATGCAACTGAAGCAGAATGAAGTTAGGACCTCGCACAGAGTGTGCAATCATTGCTGAAACTGTTGACAGGGGGAATGAATGTTCAACAGATATGTTCATCCAGCATTCTGGATGCATGTCAGAGAAGGAAGCTGCATTCTGAAGAAATAATGGGGGTTAGCAGAGAGTACCACAAGGAAACAGCAGCCATGCTGGTGACAGGAAGTGAAATACGTGTCAAACAGGATGGCATCACCAAACAGATGAAGGGAAAGTAGGGACTGGTTCATCTGGAGCTCTTAGCAGCATCTAAACTCCCACAGTGTCATCAATTAGTGTAGTTCTTTTCTGTCATTTTTTTAGAAGGGGTGGGTGATGGCTAGGATGCAGGCACACCCATCAGTGTCTTCAGCTGAGCCACATCCCAAACACGAACTTTTTCAAACGAATTGTCAGTTATCTAGAGGATGGGACAGGGATGTGGGATGAATCAGTTGTATCTGCCCAGCATCTTTAAAGCACTGGGTTCCCTCCCCAGCCCTGCATAAAACCAGTTATGGTGGCACCTAGCTGTGATGCAACACCTCAGAGGTGGAGGAAGGAGGACCCAAAGTTTAAGGTCATCCTTAGCTACAAAGAAAGATTGAGGCCAGACTGGGCTACAAGAGACCCTGTCTTAAATAGAGAAGGAAGGAAGGAAAAAGAAAGGAAATCTAGAGACTGGTCTTCAAATCTCTAGTCTATGTTGACAGAACTGACATCAGAAATTAGCAACTAAAAAGGACTTGAGAATATAGGGAATTCCTTGGGCACTGTGGTAGAGGACATGTGTTCCCCGAGTAATCTCATGGTGCTGCCTGAAGAAATTAATATGTAATCCTTCAACTCAGAAGAATACAAAGGCCAGCAGAATATCTAAGGGGTCAGAGCAAAGATGACCAGCTGCTTCGATGGAAGGAGCTCAGGAGCAGTTGTTCATAGGTTAGAATGGGCCAGCATTCCCAGAGTTCTTCGGAGAAAAGGCTGTTTGCTATGTGGTAGATGAGACAACTGACGAATGTGACTTTAGCTGCTGAAAGTGGTGTTTGCAGATCACTCTCAGCCATCAGCCCCCACAAGCTAAAGAGAGCAGATGACTAGCTTACGTGAAGTATGACGTCCTAGCTCCCACACCGACTTAGGACACCTCTACAGGGCCATCCCAGCTTTTAAACTCTGTGTGGGGCTAACTGAGGTCCTTGTCGGGAATGCAGCACAATGCAACCTCTCCTCCTGTCCAGTCTCACTACTTCCCTTTCCTTGCCCCAGATGCCCACCCCAGCATTCCCTTGTAGACATCTTGTATGGTTATTTCAGCTTTCTAAGAAACCCAACAGTGCCTGTGGATCAAATAGGACCCTGTGGTCAAACCAGTCACCAAAGACATCTGTAGGTCAGCCCAAGGAAGCTCTGCATGGACAGATGCTGAAAATGCTACTAGATTCTGTGCAGCTGGGGAAGGAGTAAGCAAGAGCTGGAATAAAAGTATATCACCCTTAGGCAAGGGGACTTCCAGCAGTGAGAGAATGATGGCAGATTGGAGACAGTGGCTGCTGGCATTTTGAAGAATTTCAATACTTTCTAAGAAGGACAGGGTATGTATAAAGAGTACCAGTGTCCAGTTAACAACAGCGTCAGTCAAAGCCATTTCTGTCCTTTTTGTCCTCTCTAACCTTGGGCACCAATCTGAGGTGGGTAGGAAGACAAGTCAGCAGATCAAGGGCAACGTGGAACAGAATCTAAAAAGATAGCAGTGTTCCCTTCTTGCAAATGCTATAATTATAATAATTTCCTTTCTTGTGGTATACGGTCCCCAGTGTCCCAGTTACCAGGCATTATAAAACCTATCAAAGGATGACCCCCCCCCCCGTGGCCTCAGGTGGTGACGCTTTGAAGTTTTTTCCTGGCTGGCATTATTTATTATATACATACTGAGACACACTGGGCTCTGAACTGCCTCTAGAGGGGACCACCTAGTCAGAGACAGCAGACACAGCAGCGGTGGAACAGGATCTAGTTCGCGCAGAGGAATTGAAGCAGCTCCCTTCTGACTTTTAGGCTAGGGCCTAGTCTGGAGTCCTTCATTCCGGATGTCCCCGAGTACAGCTCCTCTCCTGGTCCCGTCCCCGCTTGCCCAGCTCAATCCTTCAGCCTGTTCCTGCAAAGCCTGCCCTCAGTCCCCACTCCGCTCTTCCCCATTCTCCTTTCTTGCAACTCTCCCTCGTCCTGCCCCTCTCCCGCTCTCCAGGCCCTCTGCTCTCCCGCAGAAGCGCTAGCTCGGCTTGACAGGCCTTGCCCCTGAAACCTGACTCCGCCCTCCGGGCGCCTCTCTTTTCTCCTAGCCACGCCCCCTCTGGCCCCTCTTTCGGACTCTGACTGTCCCCTGTAGTCACATTTCGCCCCACTTGCCCGGTCACGCCCCCAGAGCTGGCCCCACCCCCTCTCTGGACCCAGTTCTTCTTACCTGACCACGCCTCCTCTCGCTACCACGTCCTACCTCGGTCTCCAGACTAAGTCCCCTCCTGCAGCTGCATCACGCCCTGCTTGTTTGTTCACGCCCCTAAGACCTGGCTCCGCCCCTCCTTGGACGCCCTCCCTTCGACACCACGCCCCCTCTGCTCGTCACGTTCCGCCCCTCTACCCTTCTCTCCAGGCCCCGCTCACTGCAGCTCTGCTCCTTCTCCAGCCCCCCGCCCTCCCCGCTGCGGCACCCCGCCCCACCAGCTCGGCGTCGCCCCAAAGTCTGGACCCCGCCCCTCCTGGCCCCGCCCTTGCCTCCTGATCCCACCCCTTCTCGCCTCCGCGCTCCGCCCTGCTAGCCAGGTCCCGCCCTCCTGGCCCCGCCTCCTCCTGGAACCCAGCAAGCGAAGCGCCGTGGGCATCATGGGGACGGCCTCGTCGCTGGTGAGTCCCGCTGGCGGGGAGGTGATCGAGGACACGTACGGGGCGGGCGGCGGCGAGGCCTGCGAGATCCCGGTGGAGGTGAAGCCCAAGGCCCGCCTGCTGCGCAGCTCGTTCCGCAGGGGAGCGGGAGCCGGGCCCGGGTCGCTGCCGCGCGCGGCGGGCGGCGGCGGGCTGCTAGGAGCCAGCTTCAAGTCCACCGGCTCGTCCGTGCCTGAGTTGGAGTACGCGGCAGCCGAGTTCGAGAGGCTCAAGAAGGAGTATGAGATCTTCCGGGTCAGCAAGAACCAGGAGCTGCTGTCCATGGGTCGCCGAGAGGCCAAGCTGGACACCGAGAACAAGCGGCTGCGGGCGGAGCTGCAGGTAACGCGGGACAGAGCGAGCGCATCGTGAGCGGGAAGCACTGGGGAAACTGAGACCTGAGTGTGCCGCTCAGCCGCTTGGTGACACCACCATCCTGCCCTAGCTACAAACCAAATTGTTTTCCAAGTTGTACAGAAGAAGCTTCTCCTCGTTTTGAGGGATCATTATTTAAGTCTAAACTAATTTCTTATCTGAATCTCCTCCCCCTTTCAATTTCCGGTTCATTCATTTAGACACCTTGAATCAATCAACCCAAGTGCCGAAGTCACAAATGCCGCACTGTGGTGAAACTTCACACAAGTCCTCCCAGTTTAACATAACTCCAAGATGGAGCCCTTGGCTCAGTTTCTTTTTGACGTCCTGCAGATTTGGGTTTTAATAATATGATAGGAATTTTTCTGGAAATTTCCTGATTTCACTGCTGTAGCTGAAACTTTCCTTAAGAGTGCTCAAATTCCCTTAGCCCGTTTGGTTAATGGACTCAAAGTTATTGCCATGCTTTTGTAGGCCTTAGAAAAGATCGGTTCTCATTCATGCAGATAGCAAAATTTCTCAGAGCAAAAGGTCTGTACTTGATGTTGTGGGCTCAGAACCTCTTTGATGGTCATTTGTTTATTCCTTTCTTTTCCGTGGGAGAGATCTCTGACAGCCCAAGAGCTCCAGGGCCTATTGAAGTATGAATTAAATAAACAGCACAGACTTATTTATGTAAAAGAAGGCTCCTTCCTTCTAATCGGGCATCATTTCCGTGGGTTTTATGCAGCCCTTCATTATCTGGTATGCCATCAGCATGTTCTCTGGGAAGATGGTCCTACTAGCAGCTCCTGCTGCCCTCACTTCCTATTGGTTGGCCAGTGCACTTGCTGGCATAAAGCGGACCTGTGCATTTCCCGGCTGAGTTCATGCGTGTGCACCACTGCCCACTGAGAACCATGTCAGATGGCAGGTAGAAGGGGCAGGGTGGAGAAGCCAGTGCTGAAGATGGAGGTTTCTGTCCCGCCTGGTCCCACAGCCAGTTCTCCCAAATAAACACACACGGATGCTATATTAATTATAAAATGTTGGCCGATGGCTAGGGCTTCTTACTGGCTAGCTCTCTCTTAATTATTATCTCATAACCAATCTATGTATTTCTACATGACCTTATCTTACCAGAGAACATCTGGTGCATCCTATCTTCCTGGTCTCTCCAGGCCTCCTTTTCCTTCCTCCCCCCAGCCTTCTCCTGGTCTGGTCGCCCCACCTGGCTATTGGCCAATCAGTGTTTTAGACATCAACCAATAAGAGAAACATATATACAGAAGGATATCCCCCATCACAGGGCTGGCAGACACATAGTCACAGATCACTGGTCAGCAGTCCCAATTCTTTGTATAACCTGTTGTTCCTTTCTTAGCTGCATAATCTTGAGAAAATTCTCCCACATTCATTTCATTCAGCCATGTTGGCATCTACTGGAGGTCCACCATGGATCCAGACCAAATGGTTCAGGGGATAGTAAAATGATTAATATACAGTGACAAGGAGCAGGAGAACTTTCATGGCTAATTATTCTTCAAGCTAAGCCTTACAAATTGCATTTCTTATTCTCTTAGAAAACCTGAGGCTTAGAAAATTTAGGAGCTGGTGCAGAATTTCAAAAAAAATTGTTAATTTCCATTGAAAGCTTATTGCTGAAGAATCTGCTTGCTAGGATTCAAACATGCTTGTGTTTTTTCTATTTTGCATGGATAAAAATGACTACATAGACATGCTTGATAATTGATAAAACAATGAATAGAGTATTAAAAATCCTAACCTGTGTGATGTACATGTCAGAATTTAAAGTGTGGAGGAAAGGCTGTTTTTGTTAGAGATAACAGGTGAATTATTCCAGGCTCTTCAGAAGACGTATCAAAAGATTCTGCGAGAAAAGGAGGGTGCATTGGAAGCAAAATACCAAGCCATGGAGAGAGCAGTTACATTTGAACATGACAGAGACAGAGTTAAAAGGCAATTCAAGGTAAATTCCTTACGTTTCTACCCTGGCTTCAAGTGTCACAGATTAAAAACTGTTTTTAAAAAAAGATCATTTGAGCTCAGTGTTGGTGGTACATGCCTTTAATCCCAGCACTCGGGAGGCAGAGGCAGGTGGATCTCTGTGAGTTCGAGGCCAGCCTAGTTTACAGAGCAATTTCCAGGACAGGCTCCAAAGCCCAGAGAAACCCTGTCTCTAAAACAAACAAAAAAACAAAAAGTTTATTTGAGCCAGGTATGGTGTCCTGTGCCTTTAATCCCAGTACTCAGGAGGCAGAGACAGACAGATATCTGTGAGTTCGAGGCCAGCCCGGTCTACATGAGGAGATCTTGTCTTGAAAAATGCAACAGAAAAAAAGTTCATCTGAAATCATGATGAATTCAGTAAGGTTGTGAGAGCTAGAGAAGAACGTATTTCATATTTTCAGTTAGGTATTGTTTATTTGATAGATGTGAAAATAAACACTTTAGTGAGATATTGAAAGGTGAAAGATGTTTTTAATTTTTATTTTTAATTGTGTGGGGGGGGCACACATGAATGCAGTGCCTGTGGACGCTAGAGTTGTAGGATTCCTTGGAGCTGGAGTCACAGGTCACTGTGAGCCGCCCAGCGTGAATGCTAGGAATCAAATTCAGGTATTCTGCAAGAGCAGTAAGAACTCGTAGCCACAGTACCAACCCTCCAGCCTCCAAGAATGTGTTTTTTCGTGAGATGAAGCATTTGGAAATGTTCGGGGATATTTTGTTCTGTATTTGGTATGAGGGAAACAAATTTGTTACATGTCAGGCAAGACACACATCCGTGCTGCCAGACTTCCAGTGGGTTCAGCTGTGAAACAATAGAGATGAAGGTCTGGAGACGTCATCTCAGAGAAGACTGAGAGTCAAGTGAATGTTGACTTTATGAATCAATGTTTTTCCCCCTGAAAAGTTGGTGGCACAACACTGTAATTATGAAAAAAAAGTCTCAAAAGGAATCCTGCATTTTCAAAGATTTTTAGGGAAACCAAAGAAAATGAAATTCAGGACTTACTGAGGGACAAACGAGAGCTGGAGAGTAAACTTCAGAGGCTGCAGGCTCAGGGTATCCAAGTTTTTGACCCTGGGGAGTCTGATTCGGATGACAGCTGCACAGATGTCACAGGTAAATGCACTTCATGTTCATCTTCCCCTTTCTGCAGAGCTGTAGTGATGCTCAGAACCAAGTGCTCTGTCCCTTTTAGTCTCTGTGAGCACAATCAGGGCATGCCCTGCTCTTCCAAGTAGAAGAAACAGTTCAGTGCCTCTCTTAGCTCTTAGGATCTCCTGTCCTTGAAGGGAATGATGTTTAGGGCTAGGCTTTCTCTTGTCATCATACTCTACCAACCATCCTAGCCCATGGTGTGCGTGTGCACACTCTCTCCACCCCACCCCAGGTACCCACTGCAGGTCACAAGTACATTTTCTCCAAAGGACAAAAGAAAGGACAGTGTGTGAGTTTGTTTTCTTGTGGCTGTGACAAAATGCCTGGCAACAAACTATGTAAGGAGAAGGTCTTGTTTCCGCTCACAGTTTGAGGGCCCCAATCCATCACGGCAAGGCTGTCACAGGGACAAGAGTGTGAGGCAGCTGATCCTGTTGCACTCACAGTTAGGAAACACAGTGATGGATGCTACCCTCAGCTTGCTTTCTCGTTTCTATGAAGTTATGAACCCCAGCCAGCAGGCATGGTGCAGCCCACATTAGGGTAGGTCTTGTCACCTCATTTAACCTAGTCTAGACAATTCCTCTCAGACATGCACAGAGATTCGTCTCTTTAGTGATTCAAATCCTGTCAATGTAGCAATCAGGATTGACCACACAGGCCTGTGACATGGCTCCAGGTGTAGAAGCATTATCACCCAGGCCCGATGACCTGGGTTCTATCCTGGGATCCCACGGGGTTGCAGGAGAGAACTGACTCCTGAAGTTGTCCTCTGACCATCACATGTGTGTCATGTATGTGCATTCCTGCATGCAGGTGCGCATGCATGGTCGAGACACACACACACACACACACACACACACACACACACACACAAATAAATTTAAAAATAGCATCACAGGTAGGTTCCTTGCTTTTCCTGAAGGGACAGCCTGGGGTGAGGTCACCTCTGCTCAAATGCCCCTGACCAAAGCCGGACCTAGGAAGACTGGATTATAATCAATAGCTAGGCAGACACGTGTCCAGCTTAAGTATGGAGGGGGATAGGCATAATGGAATTATGTTCTCTGCAGATTATTTTCCATACAGGGATGGATTATTTGCAACTTTGCACAACGTGTGTTTCACTAGTTTTGGAAGTCACTCAAAAAGCTTCAGTTTTATAATAAGGATATAAAATATTTTTCTAATAAGAAAGAAAAGCCTGAAGCCAAAGAATTGAAGGCATTTTCCATGTTTCAGGAATGTATTAGTCAACTGTGATTAGTATGAGGTAAAGGGAAAGTTTCTTATAGGTGGAAGAAGAAATTGTTGTGGCCCTCCTGTTTACAAGGGTGATGTTAGAGTCTTACAAAGGGATGTGTTGGTGAGTAAGAGACAGCAACCGGCTGTTCCTGTTCAGTTTTCATTTTATTCCCACTGATTGTGACCAGCATTGTAGAATTCTTACTACTAACTTTTGAGAATAAGATGCAATGATCCCAGCTGGCTAAGAACAGCTGAGAAAGTGCCTCCTGCTGTCACATTAGTCTTCCTGATTGCTTCCATATTGGCTTGTTCAAATGTACAATGTATCAAAGCTACTGTAATTGTCTTGGCAAGTTAACAGAAACAAGTCAATGCTCCCTTCTTGGTCTTTCTCATTGGTACATCAGTTAAACCCAAAGGACACAAGTTAGCAGTGCCCTGTTGACAAGTCTACCTTCAAAGTCCCTTCAGAAGCTCTGGGTGGTGACACACACTATTAATCTCAGCACTCGTGAGGCAGAAGCAGGTAGATCTATGTGTGTTTGAAGTTAGCCTGGTCTACACAGTGGGTTCCAGGACAGCTAGGGCTACATCTCAGGAAAAAAAAAAAAAAAGGTTCCTTTACATTTTAACTGATGTGAAAATGTCCAATTGCAGGTAGGTTTTTAGAATTGTTTGTGGGGATTTTAGCTGCCTCTTTTTAATTCTTTATTGCATCAATTTATTTACTTTGCATATGTGTGTGGTTACGTATGTGTGTGTGTGGATGGGAGTGCACATGTGTGAAGATGGGGACAGTCTGTGAGAATCAGTTCTCTCCTCCAGTCAGCTGCTCACCGGGTATTGGACTCCAGCCCTCAGGGTTGGTGGCCAAGCCAAGCCATCTCCCTGGCTCCAAACTGCCTCTGACAGAAATTCCTTTATTTTTTCTTTTCCTTTTTTTCTATTTTAATCCTTTCTTTGAATTTGAGATGATAACCTGAATTGTGTAAACCAGAACTGCAGTGCTTTGCCAAAAATCAGTGGCAAAATATTTTGAAAACCATTACTTGAATGCTCATTTTATTTATAAATAGAATTATCTTGACCTGAGAAACCTTATTTGACATATGAGGTAAGTTTTTAAATATTCAGTAACTTGGATCTTATGAAATTCCAATTCCTTGTTGCAACAGCTACTGGAACCCAATGTGAATACTGGGCCAGCAGAGCCTTGGGAAGCGAACCTTCCATAGGCAGCATGATCCAGCTTCAGCAATCCTTCAGAGGCCCCGAGTTTGCTCACAGTTCTATAGATGTAGAAGGACCCTTCGCAAACATCAACCGAGGTAACCAGTCCCTTACCTGGCAGTTCCGACTGTTCATATTCTGCAGTCTTCTATACATGGCACTAGTCTTCTGGCACCTCCCGTTGGCAAGCCAGCATGCACAGAGGCTGTGACTGACCAAGCAGTGGTTACATACTTTTCATCAGGACAACATGGTCCTCCTGCCAACCTGGCCACCCAGGTTCTAGTAGCTGTGCTATTATCTGAATTCGAAGGTGCTTTTGTTGAGCCATGGGGTTATGATGTAGCTTAGCTGAGAAACAATACTTTTACATTGTGTTCTTGTCAGATATTTCATAATTTTTCTTTCCCAGTAGGTAGCATAAAACTGTTTTTCATTTTACACCATTCTTAAACTCTCTTTTAGCCTCATTGGAGTTCAAGAATGAGATGGCAAAACGGCACATCACCTTGGGAATGCAGGCTCCCTTCCAGTAGCAGAGCAACTGAGTGACTCATGTAAAATAAAGTTGGAGCCACTACCCTGGGGATCCATTGTTCTCCAGGGGAGACCATCGTTAATTAACTCAAATCCCAGAGGAGAATATGAGGCTAGAAATGAATTACTTTCTAATACATTATTCTAGCTTTCTTAGTATTAACACGACAGCAAATCCTAGTCTACATCCGTTATTTTTTTTTCAGGCTTAACTTGGAATTATTTTGTCAGTTGTATTATGGTAAATTTTCCTCACTCTATGGAAATTTTGCTTCCAGATGACTGGGACACTGCTGTGGCTGGCTTACTGCAGGTCACTCCCTTGTTCTCACACTCTCTTTGGAGTCACTCTGTTAGATGTTACCTCATGTACACAGATGAAACCCAGCCTGAAATGGAACTCTTCCTTAAGGTAAGAATTTTCCTAAGTTGTGTATTCACTCATTGTGAATACAAAGTCTGGGGTTGGAGAGATGGCTCAGGAGTTAAGAGATCTGGCTGCTCTTGCAGAGGACCTGGGTCTGTTTCCAGCACCCACACAGTAGCCCACAACTGTCTATAATTCCAGTTCCAGGGCACTGGATGCTCTTCTTCAGGCCTCTGTGGGCACCAGGCATGTGCATCCACACATGCAGGTGAGCACCCATATGTTTAAACTAGAAATAAATAAATCTTTTAAAAAAAGAAGTGAAAGAAAATACAAGTTCATAGCTGAGGTGGTGGTATATATCTATAACCTCAGCACTCAGGCAGGAGGACTGTGGTGAGTTGGAGGCTAGCCTGTACTACATAGTGAGATCCTATCTCAAAACTCAATGCAAGTTCAGATTATATTCAGATTATAATTGCATTTAAACTAAGTAGCTTGCTCCCTATGGGATTACCCAGAAAACAATGGGCTTTGCTTGTGGTGTGCCTTGGTTCAGTATTCACGTGTGTAAAGGCAGACATAGTGTTAAGGCTCCTGGTTTTTATTCTACTTACTAGTAAAACCAGGACAGGAGCGAAGGCATGGAGACAAAATTAAGATGTTGGAACTTTCTGGCTTTTTTTTACATTTATATTTAATTTTATATCTAAAATATATCATTAGGATTCCAATGTCTTAGTGAATAGTACACTCCTTTAATCCCAGCACTCAGGAGGCAGAGGCAGGCAGAGCTCTGTGAGTTTGAGACCAGCCTGAGTGAGTTCCAGGACAGCCAGGGCTACATAGAGAAACCCTGACTTGGAAAACAAAAACATAAAACAAAAGAAAAAAGAAATTATGTCAATGTCTTAATATAAAAGTACAAAATATAGTTAAGAATTTATGTATAAAAATGACTTTTTCATATTTCATTAGCTATTCTCTTCGGTGTTTGAGCCTCCATTGGCCTTGTCCGATGTAGTTGCTGTCCTTAAAGCTGTATCAGATAATACCAAAATTTAATTCTTATCACCACTTTGAACTTCTCAAGGCATCCTGTGGACTTATTCTAAAGCAAAAGTAGGGCCTATAAACTACATCCTGTGGCCACTTCTGGCTTGCTACCTGATTTCATATGGCCCAGAGCAAAGATTTGTTTTTACATTTTAAATCAGTGGTCTCAACCATACTAAGGTAACGCCACAACCCTTTAATACAGCTCCTCATTTTGTAGTGACTCCCATCCATAAAATTATCTTTGTTGCTACTTCATAACTGCAATTTTGCTACTTTTATGAATCACAATGTAAATATTTTTGGAACTAAATGTTTGCCAAAGGGGTCTTGACCCACACAGGCTGAGAACCACTGTTTTAAATTATTGGAAAAATGGAATATAAGAATACTATTTCGTCATGTGAAAATTATATGAAATCCACACTTTAATATCCATAAAAAAGTGTTTTTGGAACATCCCCAGGCATGTGTGTGTGGTGTGTGTGTGTGTGTGTGTGTGTGTGTGTGTGTGTGTGTGTGGTGTGTGTGTGTGTGTGTGGTGTGTGTGTGTGTGTGTGTGTGTGTGAGAGAGAGAGAGAGAGAAGAGAGAGAGAGAGAGAGAGAGAGAGAGAGAGAACTATGACTGCACTACCAAAACTGCTAATTGGTACAGAAACCAAATAAATTTAAAAGGTCCCTGCTAAAACAGATGAATTATTAAACATTATTATTTTTGAAAAATATTTGCCATCTGACTTTTTGTAGGAAAAATCTATCTCCATTGTCTCAAGTGAATTTATAAATACATCTGCATGCCCTAGGATAAACCTGTTAAATTCATGGTCTACGGATTGTTAATAGATTTACTTAGCATTCCTTTGTGTTATTATTCAATCTTGGTAAAATTGTAGAATATTTTAAAGCTCATACCTTCCATCTCGAAGTTGGATATAAGTTACTCCCAAGGACAATTGGAGGCTTCTAACTAATTGCTTTCATAAAAATCATCATTATTTAGTAATATACTTTATTGTAGACCAATGTTTTTTTCATTAAGATTTTTAAATTTTTTATGTTTCTGGAAATGAAATCTCAGGCTTTTTATGATAAGTAAGTCCACTTTCACTGAAACCACATCCTCTAGTTCAAAGCACCATATTGTAAATGCACAGATACACATTTGGATCCTTTAAAACAAGAGAACAAATTATTCATGGTAAAAATAATAGCAAGACATACCAAATCAAACTAACATAATAGTTTGTTAGTTGTTCTGTTGTTTGATTATAAAATGAATCATTTTCTGAGCTAGAAAATAGCCATGTTGTTAAGCTATTATTTTTTGTTCTAGAGAAAAATTTACTTTTACTCTCTAAGATTTTCTTTAAAATGCAATTTTTTGTATTAGAATACTGCTTATACAAGCTGTTCTAAAACAAGTCTTTTAAGTAATAAGACCCTCTGTATACCTCTCTTAGTTAAATATATCATGCTTTAATATATTCTAATTCATTTTTAGGACCATTCACCTAAACTTAAAAGAATGTGTGAGACAATGGGATATTTTTTCCATGCTGTTTACTTTCCAATAGATGTTGAAAATCAGTACCTCACTGTAAGAAAATGGGAACTCGAGAAGAGTTCTCTAGTTATCTTATTCCTTCACTCAACGTTACCAAGGTAAGCTGAAAAAGATCTCTGATTTACCTTTCACATTAGCTGTAAAGACATCACTGCCAAATGAACTTCAAAGATAAGTCCTAATTCCATTTTCATAGTCAAAAACAGTGTGTGAAATCTAATAAATTTTATAACTCCCTCACACTCAAATAAAAACTATCAAGTTTTATAACATTAGACCTTTCAGCATCATTAATGTAAGAATTGTTTGGGGCCACAGTTGGCAACAGTGGCCCAGGGCTAAGCACTGCCAGGTATCAGCTTTTGTAAATAAAGTTTTATTGGAACACAGTCACATTCACTGATTTGTATAAATTTTTTAGTAGCCACTTCCATACTATAAAAGAAAAATGGAGTATTTACATCAGAAACCCTATGTCCTACACAGCCTAAAATGTTTATGATCTAACTTTAAAAACAAAGCTGGTGGCTTCTCATATCAGTCCACAGTAAACCTCATAGTTTTCTTTCTTTGGATACAATTTGAGACATGATGTTTCAGTGTGAATATAACTATGTTTTTTTTTTTTGGTTTTACGAGACAGGGTTTCTCTGTATTGTTTTGGAGGCGAATATAACTATGTTAATGAACTTTACCTGTTGGGTTTTTTTTATTCATATATAGATGATGTTGTTTTTTTTTAATCACGCATAGATGATGCAGATATAGACAAAAGACAAAATGGGCTTCCTGGGAGGATGGCTGTTCTATCTAGCTTGTTGTCTGACTGGATTAAGCCTTGCAGGGCATTAGCTGTCCTTGACTTTAACTGTGTGAAGTCTCCAGTTCTATCACTTTCTCTGAAGTAACCCTATCCTTGTCCTTAAGACTCTGCGTTGTAGCTGGGCCTCACAACTCAGTAAGCTGAGGCAGAAGGATTACAAGTAGCAGATCAGCCCAGGCAACTTAACAAGATCCTGTCTTTAAAAAAAATCAAGGACTGGGTATGTAGCTCAATTGGCAGAGGACTTTCCTAGCATGCACAAGATTCTGAGTTCAGTTCCCAGCACCACACAAAATCAGGCATAGTGACGCACGCCTGTAGTCCCATCACTCAGGAAGTGGAGGGTGGAAAAAGAGGAGAGGATAAAACTCAATGGCAGAGAAATTGCCTAGTGTTCATGAAGCCTTAGATGCAATGCCCAGTTATACACACACAACTCACACTCACGCATACACAACATACACTCCCTCATACATACACAACACACACATATAATCACACCAGAACACACACACAACATACACATATTCACACAGACACATGCCACACTCACACATATACAACAAACACACGCTCACGCGTGCACACGCGTACGTGCACACACACACACACACACACACACACACACAAAGAAGAAAAAAACAGAATGGGCTTACAGACTGCCTAGTGGCTAGGTAGACAGAACCGGCAGAGCCTTCCTCACAGAGTGTCTACAGAGCCCTTCACCTAGTTGCCTTCAGCTGAGTCTCTTTTCTCAGCTTTTCTCTCCTTGCCTCTGTATTCATTAGAGATGTATCATTCTTAATGCTGGTGTTTGGGGTGTGTCTTAAGTTACTTGGTAATACATCCCTTCATTGCTAAATTATTCTTCTTTAGTTCTTATGTTGAGTCTTTGAAGTCATCTTGCTTTTTTCTTTATCTTCAAGACATTCATTTGTTAATAATGTACTATTTATTATCTTTATGCTTTTAACATTTGCTTTTGTCTTCCTAATTTTAAACTTGAGTTCCTCCTTCCATTTATTTTCTATTATTTGTTTTTCTCCTTTAACTAAAATTCTGGTTTTCTTAAACAATCATTCTTTTAAAATTGAAAAAAAAATTCTTTTAGCCAGGCAGTTGTGGCGCACTCAAGAAGCAGAGACAGACAGATGTCTGTGAGTTTGAGACCAGCCTGGTCTACAAAGTGAGTTCCAGGACAGGCTCCAAAGCTACAGAGAAACCCTGTCTCAAAAACCCGAAAAACCAAAATTATTCTTTTTAAAGAATCATAATTTTAATTCCTTACATTTCTGCTTCGGTTTTATTCTGCTTGAATTTCCCTCATTTCATTACTCTTTTATTTGTTTCTCTTAGGGCTATTGTGGCATTTGGGGCTGGGAGTGTAGCTCAGTGGTACAACACTTACCTTACCTGCACGAGGCCTGGGTTCCATCCCCAGTGAGCATCCCTCTCTGTGAACAAAAGTATAGAATTGTGACAGGAGCACTGAGCGTCACCCACAGATACAGCCGCTGCTCAGGTTACTCTGCTTCTGATTGGCTGGCTCTCTCAACTTCCCAAAAGACGAGTCTAGGAGAAGCACCCCTGAACAGCTTGGGAGCTTCATGGGAGAGTAGGTTCCTGATCAATAATTACTCGTTATGTGCATACGGGACCCACAGAGTTACTTAAAGATGTTGTTGGTTGGTTCCTCTCATCATTCTGTACTCACATAAGAAGCACTGTCGTTAAAACTTCATGCTCTCTAGGTATGAGATAAATGGGTGCAGAGCAAGCTATACTAACACGCCTAGCAGTGGGTGCGGAAAGTGAGTGGAGAACTCCACCGGTGTTGTGTCTCTCCACTGTCACTCCCCGGAGCAGGCACAGAGGGGGAGCTTCTTGTGGAGGTGTTCTGAAATGTGCAGATTGACCTGCTCCTTTGCACTGACGGCTGTCAATGCGAATATTCATGGCTGAATAGGAATCCCCCAGATACCAGGGTTGGCTGGCCTCTTCATGCCAGTGACAATGCTTATATAGCTGGGGCCGCCAAAAACGCTTGGTCCTGAGGAGAGAGGAAGGCTGACTGTCCCTTAGATGACAGCCTGCTGACAGCACAGAGAGGCAGCTGTCATGTTTGCTGCGCTACTCCATCCAGCCTTCTCAAGAAACAACTCCCCTGTGATGCCTCCGGTGCCCCAGAGTAATTGTGTCGCCTTCCAGTACTTCTTGAGTCCTGTTCTCGAATTTGTTCAGTCCCTCTTTCAGCCAGGTCCGCTGCAGCTCACCTCCCAGAGCGTGGTTATGTGGGAGCTCTCGGTCCATGGTTGACCTGCTTCCGTTCCTGGGCTTCACCGTTTCTGCCCCTTCCACCTCGCCGCAAAGGCGCAAAGGCCTTTTCTCCTCTAGCAAAAACTTCTTGTTTACCTCGTGGCCCACCCTCTGGCTGCACCCTGCAGAGTAGATCACCACACCAGCTGGCCTCCTTCCTCTCTGACTTTAGCAATTATCCACTAGTGACCTATTTGTTTCCGGTCTACTTTCTTTCCACCAGAGTATTTGAACCAGATGCCACAGCCCACATTCCAGCTTTCCCGTGTGTCAGTTTTACAGTGTGCGATTATGAAATAGAAGGTTCACACTAGCACTCAGGCAGACCTCAGACTTTTCTCCCAAAAAAGTAACAAAAGGACAATTGAAATTCTGGATTTTCATGGGACTCAGTCAACACGCTAACATGGAAAACATGTATGAATCAATAGAGATGATTGGTACAAAAAATCTAATAAGATATTTTTTTCTCTTTTGTATTTGGAATTATTTTAATTTAATTTGAAGTTCCAATTATATAAACACACACATCAGTTTGCTTCTCATGAGGTCTTTCACATGATGTTTTCTTTTTTATTTTATTTTTTTTACATAATGTTTTCTTGAAAAGGGAAATTGCTTGCAATGTTCCTGTGGTATAGTAAACCCAAATAGATTATATTTTTTCCTAAACCTTCTAAAAATTGTAACTGTGGTTCCCTGTAACAAAGTTTCTTTTTTAAAAAAACTTTACCCCATTCAAGATTTTTGCTAGCCATTTGGCAGTCCCCATTTTCCCCATGTTTCCTATAGTAGACACTGGGTATATAGATTCAGAACTTGAGATAAGAAAGGGCTAGAGAAGAGAAATGCCTGAAGTTTTAGAGCTAATCATATTTGTATTTTAATTTAGAAAGTACATATTTGAATGAAATCTGTTTCCCATTTATTTGCAAAGTTCTATGAGTCCGATTCATTATTTTGAGCAATGCACAAACAGTATTTTTGAGACTTTGTGTGTTTCAAATAAATCAATTATAAAAGCTTTATAGCTCATGGCATAATTTACAGGTCTTATTCTCTCTGGCTAATGAACACACTGTATTTCTTTTTGTTTGTTTGTTTTTGTTTTTGTTGGGTTTTTTTTTTTTTTTGAGGCAGTGCTTCTCTGTGGCTTTGGAGGCTGTCCTGGAACTAGCTCTTGTAGACCAAGCTGGTCTTGAACTCACCAGAGATCCGCCTGCCTCTACCTCCCGAGTGCTGGTATTCAAGGCATGCTCCACCAACGCCTGACTTGAACACACTGTATTTCTAAGACCATGTCAGACTAATACTGTAAAATGGCCAGTTTGGGAACTGGAAAGATGGCTCAGTAGATGAAGAGTTTGCTGTAGACACATGAGGACCTAAGTTCAAATCCCTGAACCTACACAGAAGTTTGGATGCTATGAAGATCTGTAGTTTCAGTATGGGACACACACACACACACACACACACACACACACACACACACACACACATTTTGAAAGCTTTTTTTCCTCTGTAGCTGGGTCCTTGTCACTGTGGTAAAAGCCATTTGGGCACTTAGACTGGTCACTAAGCATCTGGTGCCACAGTGCAGTACGACCCGAGACTTGACAATTTCCAATCTAGTTTTCTACGGGAAGACTGTGAAGAAGCCTTTCTGCAAAACCCAGAAGGAAAACCACGATTAATCTACCATCATTTGGAGGATGAGGAAGTCACTTCCGACTCTGTCCAGCAATTCCTGGATCAAGTTTCTAACCTAAGCAAGACCAGCAAAGCCAAGGTAAAACACAGAGCACATGTCACAAGGCATGTGTGGCAGAGGTAAAGCCAGAGCCAGTAGGTGGAGAAGCGTGGGAAAGCAAGCCAGGGTGTCTGGAAGAGGGGATATACAAGAGGGCGGCCCAATTAGGTCAGTCCTGAGAAACCTCAGAAACTCTTTTACAGACCTGGCCTTTTCTCTTGAAGTAGAGCTGGGGAGTATTGGTTGCTCTGACCCCTGTCCACGACTTCTTTGGTTTTGTGAGGATAGAGCAGTCTGGAGGGTAGCAGGCAGTCTGAGATCTGGTGCAGCCATCTAGATGAGACATGCTGAGCTCCTAACCCTAGGGATAGGGTTGAGATGAGACAGGCACCCAAAAGTATACACTGTTCACATGAATCCCTGTGTGACCTCAGATGAGCCTTTTAACTTGTCTCGGTTTCCTCTTTCTGAACAGCAAGGTTACATTATAGCATCTTTCTTGTAAGGAGCTTGCCGGAATAAGAGTTACAATGTTAAAAGGCTTGCTGCTACCAGTGTCTTCCATCTCTTGCTGCTACTCTTACTGTATTTCCATGTTACTGTTAGACCTTTCTCCCTAGATCATCGATCACTCAGGGGATCCTACAGAGGGAGTGTATAAAACATACATCAGTGTGGAAAAGATTATTAAACAGGTAAATATGCTTTTCTCTGTAAGCTTTCATCTACAATAGCCTAATAGCATTTTTTAAAAGAGTTTTCCAGACAGAACTACTTGTGTGTAGTTTTGAGGTCAAGAGAGTACCATTGTTCTGTTGGGATTGATGTCAAGGAACTCCATCTCATGACAGGTAGTGGTGGTGCACATCTTTGATCCCAGTGCTTGGGAGGCAGAAGCTAAGGCAGGCAGATCTCTGATTTCCTGGTCTGCATAATGAGTTCCAGGACAGCCAGGACATCTGGGGCTACACAGAAACCCTATCTTGAAAAAAGCAAACAAACAAACAAAAAATAAAAATAAGAAAAGTAAGTTAGAAAGAAAGAAAGAAAAAAGAAAAGAAAGGAAGAAACTCCATCTCAGCAGTTCAGTTTCTTAGGCATTAGTGCACCTGTGAAATTATTCACCCGTAGGGCTGAAATGGTGCTGAGTCTGTAGAGCACTTGCCTCACAAGCATGAGAACCTAAATAGGAGTCCAAGCACGCACTTAAAAATATTAGGCATGATGGTATGTGCTTGCAATCCCAACACTGGGGCAGTGGAGACAGAAGGATTCTCTTAGGGTCACTAGCTAGCCAGGCCAAAGCAATTAATCAGTGAGCTCTTGCCAGTGGAAGACCCTGTCACAAAGGAGGTAAGTTTTCCTGAGGATGACACCCAAAGCTGTCTTTGTCTCTTGACTCCACACTTCTGTGAGTGCGAAGGCACATGCACACACGCACACACACACTTTTTTTAAGTTATTCACTAGCCAGATATAATTACAACTATTATATGACATTTTTCAGAATACAAATCCCACTAGACAAATAGCACTCTGATTTTAGTTTTAGTTGAGAACTCGTTATCTTTATGTTTCAGTGTTTTCATTTTAAACTAGGATTCTTATGGTTACAAATTTATTCTTGGAGGTACTTATAATAACTCTTATTCTTTGTTTGTTTGTTTGTTTGTTTGTTTTGTTTTGTTTTCAGAGACAGGGCTTTTCTATAACAGTCCTGGCTGTCCTAGAACTCACTTTGTAGACCAGGCTGGCCCAGAACTCACTAAGATCCACCTGCCTCTGCCTCCCGAGTGCTGGGATTAAAGGTGTGCACCACCACCATCCAGCATAACTTATTCTTAGAAGCCTAAGTCTGGACTTGCCCTCCTTGGTGGGTAAGGCCGGGCATTTTGACCCCTGCTCGAGGTCTCTGAATTTCATTTGCTTTCCTCAACTTGTTCTTGGTACTCAGGACATCCTCGGCCTTGAGAACACAGATGTGGAGGTGAAGGATGTGGGCGGTGAGGACTCCCCTCCAGAAGACGATGATTTCGGGGATGTTCTGTGGGACATACACGATGAGCAAGAGCAGATGGAAGCCCTTCAGCGGGCTTCTAACTCCGCCCATGAACTGGGAGTTGAGAAGGTGAGCTGAGAGCTCGGTCTAGGAAAGATCAGTTGCTGGGGGTGGGGGGGCACAGCTGGGAAAGTCCAGAGTGGTGGCCCTCTTCTGTAACCCCAGTGTGTGGGAAGGCAGGGGCACAGGCAGATCTATGGAGCTCACTGGACAGTCAGCCCAGCCAATCAGTGAACCTGGGCTGGAGGAAAGGCCCTGTCTCAAAAAATAAGGTGACAGCAAATGGCAGCTTCTGGCCTCTACATGCAACTGCACACACACACACACACACACACACACACACACACACACACACACACGCTTAGAAACAGTAATAATAAAAATAAGTTAAAGGTTGTCATATAATAATTCTTTCACCTGAGCATATTCAAGTTTGTGACTGTGTTACCTGCTCTCAAGGCTGGATGACCCATGTTGATATGTGCTTAGATTGTATCATAAAAAGACTATGTGGGATCTCTGTGAGTTCGAGGTCGGGTTGGACCGATAGCCTCCAAAACAACACAGAGAAGACTATGTGACATTGACATATATTATGAACACCAATATTTTTATAGATGACAGATTCATGCACCCATTATGTTACCAGCAGCAACTCACCCAAACCAGGCTAGGAAATGACAGCAAAGCTAGGCTGTCAGTTCTTCCTAATGGTTACAAGAATTAAACTGCCCCGTGTTCAGAAAACAAACTCTGGTCAGTCATTCGATGGGCGGATCAGCCATTCACTTTCGGTATAATCAGCAATTATTAATATCTAAACTTAAATTAGCAATCTGACATCTACTAAGAAACATGTCCAAGTTAAAAAATACTTAATAATATTACAAACTAATGAACAAATCAATTTTTTAAATTTGTATGACATTATGTAGTGTGTGTGTGTTGAGGGGGCAGGGACACATATGTGGTTATTGGGGAACACCATGTGTGTCCTGGGAATGAACTCAGAGGGTCAGGCTTCGTGACAAACACCTTTAATGGACTGAGCCATCTCAACTTGAGTCTACAAATTAGTTTCTAGAGACTGTCACAGAAGTTGCCTTGAGCAGATGCATTTTTATAAAACTCTTGGAATTTAGACTGTGCTTATTACTTTGTTCTGAAAAAAATCTCTGGTCATTCTAAACTTGACCTTCTTATTCACAAAAGGAGGCTCCCTAGTTCCCCTTCTCTCACAGATCAATGTTGCAAGTTAAGATGTTAAGAACAGTATCCCACATGAGGTTACTAGTAACTAGAGGCTGTTTTTAGAGAGGTACTGGTATAGAAGAAGAAACTGAAGTCTGACGCGGTTTTCCCATGAGCACACGAGGAATAAATTTTCCCAACACGAGGACTGTAGATCTTTAAGTGGGTTTTCTGTAGAACCATGGACCAAGTTATTGGAATAGAGAGGGTAATTAATCAACAAGCCCTGTTCCTTCAGAGGCAGCACTGCTCTGAGACACTGGGGTTCCTTGGCAGTTGGTTCAGGTGTAGATACAAGCAGAACAAACTAAAAAACCACACCAAGGACATTATCGTGCAGTTAAAGATTTTACTGCCGTAAAGTCAGCCCAAAGCCCACCACAAACTATTATGAATTTAAAGTCATCATCAACCAGTTAGAAGTTGATAGACACAGAAACACTAAGCTGGCTCTGGACAGTACTCCCAAGAAGTACTGTGGCACTTTGCTTTTGTGAGCACAGCCTTGCAGGTCTGAGCTGGTTTTGCATGGCTGGGGAAAGCTAGGAAAGGATGGGTTCTTGGACTTTGTACAGAACTCAGCTTCATAAAGATCTCAGACAGTCTGTCTGAGCCTGGCTGTCTGGGCAGCCTGGGAGACTGCAGGGAAGGGGGTCAGAAGAAGCTGGAAGCCTGCTTTTGTTTGGATCCATTCTTAGTAAACCCACAGCCTGAGACAGGCTCCGGAGCTCTACGTTCATTCTTGTGATGAGAAAACCTAGGGTCGCTGTCTGGGCCTGCACAGCCTTCTGGGACACTTCCTGTGGTCGAGGGGCGCCAGTGTGGTGTGATGTCCTCTCTGCAGCATTTCAGCAAATGTCTAAACGTTGTGAAAGCCGCCCCGGTCGGTGCTGTCCCTCACTCTAATTATGGCCTCCCCACGGGCCCAGATCAGCATCCTTGCACTCGGCCAGCCCCAAGTTTGTTTCCTCGCACACTTCCTCTAGTGTTTTCAGGGGTCACACAGAAGCTAAGTGTCAGTTCAACTTAGTGCTCGCAGAGGCGTCTGCGATCTCACAAGATAAATCCCTTCTTTGTTTCTAGTATTACCAGCGCCTGGATGATCTGGTGGTGGCACCAGCCCCGATCCCACCCCTCCTGGTTTCTGGAGGACCAGGGTCTGGAAAGTCCCTTCTTTTATCAAAGTGGTATGACCCAATGCAATTAGACCATTCTTTTCACCGCCTTGTTTGTCCGTTTTGTTTTCTAGGGGTAGGGTCTCCTGTAGCACAAACTAGCCTGGTTTCAACCTCTGTGTGGAACTAAGAATGAGCTTGAACTCCTGATCTCCCTGTATCCACCTCCGCTAACATCATACTTTTAGTTAAAAGTGAATGCCTATTTTATTAACATTTTGTGTTGATTAACATCATCTTATAATAAAATGAGACTGTTAGTTAAGAAGTGGAACTAATAATCTCTCTATTTGTTCCAGTGAGACTAACGATGTAACTAAGAACACCGGGGTGGGGGTGGGGGGGGCAGCATTTGATGTCTAGCTCTTTGTGTATTTGTTGCTATGGAGAGTTGATAAAAAGTGCCGTGTTTTTCCCTAGGATCCGGCTGCAGCAGAAGCATTTCCCTAACATGCTGATCCTGTCTCATTTTGTGGGGCGGCCCATGTCAACCAGCTCAGAACCCTCCTTGATTATCAAGCGGCTGACCCTGAAGGTATGATGGGCCCTTTCTGCAGCCATCTGGATGTGACGAAGATTATGACGCTCTTGGGACTGAGACAGCAGTACTAAGCAGACTTCCAGGACTGTAGGTAGAAGAGCACTAATGATTGACAGGCTGCAAAGATGACCCAGTTGGTAAAGTGCTTCCTGTGCAAGCATAAAGCCTGAGTTTGTATCCTCAGCATGCATGTAGACACTCAGACATGGCAGCATGCATGTCTGTCACCACAGCAGGGTGGACAGAGACAGGAGGGTCCATGGGACTTTCTGGCCACTAGCCTAGCCAGTTAGTGAGCTCCAGGTTCAGTGGGAGACCCTGTCTGAAAAAATAAGGTAGAGGAGCAATTGAGAAAAACACTCAACATCACCCTCTGACCTTCATATGCAGACACACACACACACACACACACACACACACACACACACACACACACACGTACCTGGTACCATCACTGTGGGGAGTCAGCAATGATGTACACAGTAAGGATAGACAGGTCTCCCTGCTATCATGGAATGTGACTGATGTACTTGCACGTGGTGTCACCTTGTCACTCTGCAGCTGATGCAGCATTTTGGGGCCGTTTCTGCACTGACACTGGATCCTGCTAAGCTTCTGGAAGAATTTCCCCACTGGCTGGAAAAGCTCTCTGCTCGGCATCAGGGCAGCATCATCATCATCATTGATTCCATAGACCAAGTTCAGGTGCTGCCCTCGCTGTGGCTTCCAATGGCTTTGGCAGGCATCCCAGTTCCCGGCTTCTGTTAGCAGTCACCAGCAATGGCTACGGCAGGCATCCCAGTTCCATGCCGGGGAAAGGAGTGATGCTTTCCATTTGTTTCTGCTTAATTTCTGGGGAAGAAGTGTCTGAATTAAAAAAAAAATGCTATGCTCATAGGCAGTCACATCAAGTAAATCTAATCTATATACTTAGCAAGAAGTATTTACTTTGACATGCTTTTAAGGCATGGACATTTCCTTAAATGTCCAGAATTCAAATTTGGTGATAACGGTGTTTTGCCAACGTCGGATCAACCATTCCCAAAGAGTTGTATCCTGAATCATAATAAGGAAAGTGTAAGGAGAACTTTATGCTGTCAGAGAGCTATAGGAATTGTTCTGAAATGCTGCTGTTATTATTATAAGTTGACTTCTGCTGTGTCTTCTTAAGCAAGTGGAGAAGCACATGAAATGGCTGATAGACCCCCTGCCGGTGAATGTTCGAGTCATTGTCTCTGTGAATGTGGAGACCTGCCCTGCAGCGTGGAGGTACGAGTGTCCATCCAGTTCCTGAGAGTGAGGGCAGACAAGGGAAGGTCCTTGATGTCCGTCCGTGCTTTTTCGTGTACACGCCAGTGAGGCTGGGGAGAGGCGACTGACCTAAGGGAGAAGGAACCATTTGTAGGATTTGGTGGGGTGGGAGGAGTCAGCGCTGGGGTGGAAGGGAAAAGAAGGAAATGGAAATGACTGCAGGTTGTCTGAACCAAGAAATGGAAGCCAATCATGACTTCCTGGGCTGAAAAAGGAGACACACAATGGGCATGTTTGGGGGGAGAGCTAGTAGGTTTGTTTTTCTTGGAGAGTTTAGTTTGAATCCTAAATTGCTAATCCAAGTAATGACATCTAGTAGGCAGGCAAATTTGTGGGTGAGGAAAATAGAGAGGAGGGGTGGTCTGAGAATTACAGTCTAGAGGCCCATTTTTCTAGAATGAAGGCTCACTTTTATTGAAAGCCCTCAGAAAAGTGATATAAGGGGTGAATTCTGTAGGGTGGTATTCCTTAACCTGTTTATTTTTTATCCAGGGAAAAACCTTGTAAAGTTCTTTCCTACAAGAAAACCTTTTTCCCCTGGCCATGCCTCCTTAAGAAATTTTGTTTTGTTTCTTTTTTATTTATGACTTTTTTTTTAGTTTTTTATCAACAGTTTTTTGTTTTGTTTCTTTTAATGCTGTGTGCACACACTGTGTGTCAGTGTGCATGTATAAGCAGATATGTGTGCCTATCTGTACTTTGTACATAGCATAAGGTTTTTCCTATCCCGAGTCAGTTGCCCTGTAAGAAACTGGGGGCAGAGACCATCTTGAACTGCTCCCCTGAGCACTAAGTGCCTCCATCTAGTTTAATGCAGGCCCTGAGTGTAGAAATAGAGTATGTAGTTTATGACACTCTGCTTTGATTGTCGGTTGATGTAATGATAAACCTTAGAATGAATCAAATAACAATTTAATGTGACTAACAGATTCCATAGGTTTATTTTATAAAGACCACATAAAAATAACCCATCTGATGGATTTTAACGGGTGTTATGGTAGATTATGGTTTTCGTTGGATTGTTAGAAATTTCTTTTCTTTTTTCCTCTTTAAACAAAAGGTTGTGGCCTACACTGCATCTCGATCCTTTAAGCCCCAAAGATGCAAAATCCATAATAATTGCGGAATGCCACTCTGTAGACGTGACGTTGAGTAGAGAGCAGGTGAGCTTTCCCACTTCGATGCTTTCCCTACTCTGCCAGAAGACTTAACATTCAAGACAGAGCTGTGTTCTCATGAGGAACTCAGGCGTTCAGCCATTATTTTGGTAATAATTCTTCCCCTTACAAAGAGGTGTGTGTGCTGTGCATGTGTGTACACGTGTGTATGCGGGTGCATGCGCCCACGCATGAGCATGTACAGGCCAAAGACTGGAGTCAGTGTCACCCCTGTTGCTTCCCATTATTTATTGTTTGTTTGTTTTGAGTCAGGGTCTCACTGAACCTAGTGCTCAATATTTGGCTAAACCAGATGGCCAGCAAGCTCCAGGAACCCTCCTGTCTCTGCCACCCCACCCCACCCCTATCCCATCTCCCACTCTGGGGTTATAGGCACACCCCACCACACCCAGCTCTTTAACCACCCAGCCACCTCCCCAACCAGCCCCATTCTGTTTTCAATGACGGATAGAGGAAGCAATCCAAATACTTTGGGAAGAGTGTATAGTGTTAAGAAGGTATTCTAAAAAGTGAAAAGTGTTTTATATCGGCTGCATCTTCCTTCTGCAGCTGAAGTCTCGCTGCAGCCAGGCTCCCTCCATTCCACCTGTGACATCAGTGATAGCAACAGAGACAGTTTCCTTCTGCTTGGGACATCTGTGGCTGGATCAGTAGTAATGATCCCAGGCTACTTTTCTCACTTTGGTTTTGTTTTCTTGGGAAACTGGTGTAGGAGAAGCAGCTAGACCAACACTGCCGTTCCGCCACAACCTGTAATGCCCTCTACATCACCCTCTTCAGCAAAATGATGGCGCGGTAAGTGGCCGTATCCCTTGGTGTTCTGCTCGCATTCATCCTGTTCGTCTCTCTGCAGTCGGCTTTCTCTGCAAAGTGAGGGCCGTTCAAACTAGCTTCACTGGCCTGCGATGTCTCCCTATTCTTAGGTGACCCTCACTCGGGAGGATGTGACTCACTGTTGAGGATGGAGGAATGGTTTTAAGTTAGGACTCTGGGCTCTCTAGACTCTGGTTCTGGTCATCCAAGCAGTGTCAGGTATGGGTTCCATCTTATGAAGTGGGTCTTAAGTCAAAGCAGACATCAGTGGTTACTCCCACAAGGTTTGCAGGCAGGACAGATTGTAGATCAAAGTCTCTGTGGTTGGGTTGGTGTTTACTTTTTGTTATATTTTATAGTCTGTAGAGTACCTTTCCATTCATAGACACTAGAACATGGGTTCTTTATAGGCACTAACTAGAGTTCTCCATGTTTACTGAGTTGTGTGGGTGTTGTCTTCAGCAATAGGGCCTTACTGTCAATTTGTGGAGAACGAGCTATTGTCTTGGTAACAGCCTGGAGTTGGAGGGCTTTTCACCATATCCTTTCAGCCAACAATTGAATTACATGAATCCTGATACTGGAAACTTCATTTGGTGACAAGATATGGCCAATAGGGGTTCTGTCTCCCTCATTATTTAGAGACTTCATTGGGATTTCCTTCATATATTATAGGAAGTTCCCACTGCCCCTCAGATATTCTTTAGTTCTGTCTCTCCCCTCATTCCCTTCCTCAATCCCATCTTCCCTCTCCCTTCCCACCTGATCCTCCCATTCTTGCCCCTCCTCCCACCCCTGGATCCAGTCTACTCATAAGATCTATTCTATTTCCCCTTCCCAGGGAGATCCATGTGTCCCAGGCAGTCCCTTCCTCTATGCCTAATGTCTCTGGGCCTGCGGATTGTTGCTTGGTCATCAACTTATTAATGGCTAGTATCCAGATATAAGCAAATACATACCTTATTTGTCTTTCTGTGTCTAGGATCCCTCACAATGATTTTTTTATGAATTTGCCTGCAGATTTCATGATATCATTTTTTAACAGCTGAGTAATACTATGTTATGTAAATGTACCACTTTTTTAAACTTGATATTCTATGTTTGGTTGATATCCATGGAAGGCCTGCCCTTTTCTGAAGGGAAATGGGATGAGGAGTGGATCTGGGGGAGAGGGGAGGTGGTGGGGGGACTGGGAGGAGAAGAGGGAGGGAAAACTGTAGTCAGAATGTAATATATGGGAGAAGAATAATTTTTTTAAAGATTTATTTATTTATTACATATACATTGTTCTGCCTACATGCCAGAAGAGGGCACCAGACTGAATTGTAGATGATTGTGAGCCACCATGTGGTTGCTGGGAATTGAACTCAGGACCCCTGGAAGAGCAGTCAGTGCTCTTAACCTCTGAGCCATCTGTCCAGCCCGAGAAGAATAAATTTAAAAAATAAAAAATGAATAGAGTAGCAATGAGTTTGAGCAAGTGCCCCTGTGGTAGGATGGTGTATCCTTTGGATCTGTGCCTATGGCTGGTGTAGCTGGGACTTGAGGTAGATCCATTGCTTTCTGAGGCCGCCACACTGATTTCCAAAGTGACTGTAAAAGTTTGCACTCCCACCAGCAAAGGAGGAGTGTCTTCCTTGCTCCAGCATAAGCTATCATCGGTGTTTTTGATCCTCATCATTCTTACAGGTGTATCTCAGAGTAGCTTTGATTTGCATTTCCCTGATGGCTAAGGATGTTGAATACCTTAAGTGTTTCTTAGCCATTTGTATTTCCTCTGTTGAGAATTCTCTGTTTAGAACTGAACCCCATTTTTTTAAATCGGGCTGTTTGGTTTTTTGATATCAAGTTTCTACGAGAATATATTTTATGAGGACTGTGGACCATTTTTGTATTTAAAAAGTAAACTTTTGTATGGGTGGAGTTTGTTCTTGCAGTACTAGGTACTGAACTCAGGCCTAGGCATGGGCATGCACTCTGCTGCTAGGTTGCTTCCTGAGTTCTTGTGGTGTGTGTGTGTGTGTGTGTGTGTGTGTGTGTGTGTGTGTGTGTGTGTGTGTTGCCTGTGTTTTCTCAGTTTCTTTATTTTGCAGTACTTAGTAACCCTGAACCTAGACACATGCTAGGCAAATGTCCTGCTTCTGAGATGGGGTCTCACTAATTTGTGAGGCTGACCTTAAACTTACTCTGTGTCCTAAGCAAGTCTTAAACTTGGCATGTTCCTGTCCCCTCACCCACCCCCATACCTGGGGTTACACGCTTGAACCACAAACCCTGGCTCTTTTACTGAATTTCTTTAGTTTACCCTGGTGTTCTCAAGATCCTGGCTCCATACAGTTTCAGCATGCATGGCTGTCATTGCTATTGTCATCCCTGTGTCCTGCAGGTGGTGGCGTGCTAGAGGATAAGGGCCAACTCTTACTCATTTTTATATTCCGCAGTGAACACTAATGACTTGACATAAATTAACTCTCAGCACATGTTCATTGAAATGGATTAAATGGTATAATAAAATAAATCAAATGACTCCAGCAGCTCCAGAAAACTATCATTTCTCTGTATTTTTTATTGAGTTTCCATTATGGGTTATAGTGTAAACATAGAGGTCACTGTTTTTATGTGCCCACATTCTTCACAGCTACTGGCAGTCTTTGTGAAATTCGGTCTGTTCTCAATTCCCACAGTGCCGGGAGAGCAGGCAACTTGGAGAAAACCCTTCGGCAGTGCCTGGAGTGTCAAGATACAGTTTCATTGTACAGACTCGTTCTCCACTCCATCCGGGAGTCCATGCCAAGTGACTTGGACAAAGAGCTGATGACACAGGTGAAGGGCAGTGCACCCACCAGAGGACAGCTGGGGGCCTCGTGGGTACAGTTTATTGGTATCCTGGCATGGATACGCACACCAGCATTCAGGCAGATACTTAGACAGCTCAAAGGGCCCTGTATGGCATAGTATGTCACACGTGGCGGCATAAGGACTCTGTACATATGTGCAAGCTTCCCCTTTTAAGTGAGCACATCTGCCTGTTCGTACCTTATTGCCCTTATCGCCCTTATCCCCTTCCCCTTCCCCTCTTTCTCTTCCGTCGTCTATCTCTCTTCCATCTCTGTCTCCCTTCCATCTCTGCTCCCGGTCAGCCGACACCTACTCCTCCCTTGTTCCCTTTGCCAATGAACTCCACGTGGGTTTATTGAGTAGTGTGTGCGTGTTTCATCGCCCGCAGCCGCAAAGATAATAACAGAGTTAGTCATTTTTGTTTGAGCTTAAGTACGTTGCAAGCATATGAGGAAGACTGGAGCCCATGCTTGCTGCATTCTTCCTGGTTATCACTGAGATTTCGCCTCTCATGGTTATTCATTGCCCTGTTTCTTGTGTTTTTAAGCCCAGGCTGGTCTCAAACCGCAACCATCCTCCTGGGCCAGCCTTCCAAGTGTTGGGATTATAGGCTTGCATAGCCATGCTTGACTTTTACTCCTTTTTAAATTGGGTTGTCTGTTTCTTCCTGGTCTGTGTGTGCCTGTGTATCTGTTGGGGGGGGTGTATATGAGTGCAGGTTCCCCAGGAGGCCAAGGGAGGACTCTGGATGCCTTGGAGCTGGAGTTATATGTGGTTGTGAGCCTCCGGTGTGGATGCTGGAAACTGAACGTGGGTCCTCTGGAAGAGCAGCAGGTGTTTTTAACCACTGAGCCATCTCCTCGATCCTGGATTTCTTTTTGTGATTGGTTTGAAGTTCTTAAGTGTTCATATTAAATACAAATTACGTTATCTTTTTCCTTTGTATTTTGTCACCTATGATGGTATGTATTTAAAATTTTTATTTTGCTAAAATCAAATTTACCAACAGTTCTGGTCTGTTGTGTTTCAAACTCTCTCCTGCTTTAAATGTCCCCTGTGTGATGTGTGTTCATGTAGTTTCCTTCAAAACATCTTAGAGTTTCTGTGTGTGTGTCTTTAATTCATGTGGATGTATTTTAGCTTGGGTGAGAGAAAAATATCTGCTTTTTATTTAGTCTTTTGTTATGTGACTATTTGATTGTTATTTTTATTAAATAATATATTCTCTTCTGATTTGGAGTGCTACCTGACAGATATTAGCTCACATGAAATTGTGGGTCTGTTTCTAGGCCTTTCTATTCAGTTGAGCTTCCCCCCCCCCATGATATATTGTCCTAGAACTTTTAGACAAGCTTTAACATTTTGTTGAGCAAATTGTCTTTTTCTGTTGTTTTTTGTGATTGTCTTGGCTAAGGTGTGTGTGTGTGAGAGAGAGAGAGAGAGAGAGAGAGAGAGAGAGAGAGAGAGAGAGAGAGAGAGAGAGAGAGAGAGAGATGTGCACGTATGTACAGCTGCCCGTGTGTAGATATGTGGAGGTCAGAGGTTGACATCAGGATGTCTCCATCAGTTGCTTCTCCACTTCCTTTGTTTCTTTGAGACAAAGTGTGGATAAAAAGTTAATGAGTGTTAACAAGTTTTAGACATTCTTGGCTGTGATTTCTGAGGTGCCCTGTGCTTCCTGTGTGTCTTGCTCTCTGTCTAGATTCTCTGTCTCATCAGTGTCAGTCACAATGGTGTGAGTGAGTCGGAGCTGATGGAGCTGTATCCAGAGATGTCCTGGGCTTCCTTGACCTCCATTGTCCACGGTTTACACAAAATGTGTCTGCTGACTTACAGCTGTGGCTTGCTCAGGTTTCAACATCTGCAGGTAAATATTATTTCAAACATCTTTTTATAAAAAGTTTTGTTTTGTTTTTTTACTTGTAAGTATCTCTGTAGCCTTCCATGCTATGTTACACTATGTTATGTTAAATGTTTCAGATGCTAACATCAAAAGCTAAAGTTTGGCATTACACTTTGATTTTTTGCAGTGACTTTAGAATGCATGTGAACTTGCCCAACACTAAGCGTGTCTAGTGCCTTCAGGAGGCAGCTATTACTTCAAAAGTGGCACCCAAAGTGCTTTAGTTCTAAAGATCTGCTGCAAAGTATCGTCTGTCATGAACAATAGTGTATTGCAATTTTATTAAAAGGAGCCAGGAACAGTGGCACATGTCTACCATTATGCCAGTACCTGTAAGGTAGAGACAGGAAGCTCAGGAATTCAAGACTAACCTGGGATGCATGAGATCATGTCTCAAAACCCACAGCATTTATTAAGAGGAGCTAGGTATGGTAGCACAAGCCTATAAGCCTGGGCAACTAAGGCAGGAGCTTTATAAATCTGAGGCCAGCCTAAGGTACGCTACATAGCCAGATGCTGTAAATCTCAAAAACAAAAAACAATGATTAAGAAGGTATCTCTCTTGTTACATGTTACACATAAAATGTTTTAAAAATAGCAAAATTCCAGCCATAAAGCAAAATCAAAAAGGGAGTTTCTCTGAAACCTCATGAGCCAGGTCCCCACAGTTCAAATCACCCTCAGTGCCACTGTCTCCAATGCTCCTACTAGTATGGCTCATTAAACTCAACTTAAGGCATTCAACTGCTTTTCTGATCCACAGCCCCAAGGTCCATACTCTGTCAAACAAAAGCATGGTCCAGCCTATCACAGCAATATCCCAATCCCTGTACCAACTTCTTTCTTAGTTAGGGTTTCTATTGCTGTGAAGAGACACCATGACCACAGCAACTCGTATAAAGGAAGATGTTTAATTGGGGCTGGCTTACAGTTCAGAGGCTTAGTCCATTGTCATGGTGGCAGGAAGCATGGCAATGTGCAGGCAGACATGGTGCTTGAGAGGTAGCAGAGAGTTCTATATCTGGACCCACAGGCAGCTGGAAGAGACAGTGAGCCACTAGGCCTTGCTTGGTTTTATACCTGAGGCTGCACGGCCCAGGCTGTATAACCTAGGCTGGCCTAAGCAAGTGTTCTCCCTGCTTTAACCTATGTGTGATGGATGCAGTGCCACATCTAATTTTCTGGGATTTAAAACACACACATACACACATACACACACACACACTAACTAACTAATTTTTAAGTTAAATTGTGCTCTGAAGTCTTAATTTTTGTACTAAACTGAGTTCATTATGTTAGTTTATCCTTGGTTTGTTTAAAAATATTGTAGGGCTATTTCTACTATGTAACTATAAAAATGAAAGAACTATAAACTTCTTTTTGTAAGTCAGATGTATAATGACTTAAAAACAGAATCTGGTGTTCTCTCTCCCTCTCCAGGCCTGGGAAACAGTGAGACTAGAGTACATGGAGGACCCCACCCTCGTTTCTTCACACAGGCAAAAGCTGATCAACTATTTTACCTCACAACTCAGGTATCAGAGATGTCTCCTTGTTCTTCTGTAACACACTCTGCCTTTGTTTTCTTGTTTCTCTCTCTTAGCTTCTAAGTTGAAGTGTAAAATTCAGCCAGGTCAGGTAGCACATGCCTTAATACCAGTTACTAGGGAAACTGAGGCAGGGGGATTGCAGGTTTAAAGTCTGTCTGGGCTACTGAGTGGGATCAAGGCCTAAAAATTTAGTGAAATCTTCCCTATCTCAAAATTAAATAAATAAATAAAATTAAAGGCTGGGAAGGTAGCCCAGTGTCTACCTAATTAATGTCAAGAAAAAAAATGACATTGATACAAGATAAATTTATTGTCTTTATATTTATTCTGTTTAAATAATTAAAATATATGTCACACATGTGTGTATTCTCCCTGTCATGCAAACATGCATGCGCACACACACAAGCACATGTACCTCCATGCATGTATGTTCAGGCCCGCTGAAGGTTTTTTTTACTGTCATTTAGGAAGATACTGTCATTTAGCATGTGGAGTTTTAATGTTCTGGGGCTTTCATTCTTTTACCCTGTTTTAATGTTTCAGTGTTTTATCCTCTTCCTCATTATGGCCTGGGAGAGTCCAGTACAGAATACCAGGGATTTATATACAGTGGGAATGGTAAAATTTCTGGCATTGGCCTAGCTTTCTTGGCTTTGTATTATACAAGAGTCAGAAATAGTGGTTAAATGTGTTCCCTCCAGGCCTCTCCTGAAGCCTTCAGAGCCCTCTGTCGCTGAAGGTCTCACTGTGTCGTCTCCTTTCTCCCGCAGTCAGGACCAAGTGACCTGGAGAAGCGCAGATGAGCTCCCCTGGCTTTTCCAGCAGCAGGGAAGCAAACAGAAGTTGCACAACTGCCTCCTCAACCTCTTCGTGTCTCAGAACCTTTACAAAAGGTCCGCAGCCCCTCCCAGATCCTCTCTGCAGAGGAAGGATTTAAACAGTTAGTTGTTCTGCTTAACTACGATGATAAAATGGAATTGTTTTTACATTTACAATCAGAATACTTTCAGTAGCACCTGAAATACAGACAGTAGGGTGGGGATCGGGCAGGGGAGAGTATGTTCTGCTTTACAGAAATCATCCGCGCCAGGCGTTGGTGGCGCACACCTTTAATCCCAGCACTCGGGAGGCAGAGGCAGGCGGATCTCTGTGAGTTCGAGGCCTAGGACAGCCTCCAGAACAATACAGAGAAACCCTGTCTCGAAAAATAAAACAAAACAACAACAACAACAAAAAAGAAATCATCTGCAATCCAGGGCAATTTTATGTCTTATTCTTGCAATTAAGCAGATTTTAAACCTTGCAGAGGAATTATTCCTAAAGTGAGCTGCTTCAGGCCTCCAGTATCTCATAAATGTCATATGTCAAACCAGATGCTGGGTTCCCAGAGAAATCTGAGCAGTGAGAATGTAACCATTGCTCTGGTTCTGCAGCCTACTCTGTCGCCTCTCTTGATACACTTGAATTTGCTGGCAGTATAGCTGCCCATTTATTAGCCCAGCTTCTGACCTGCTAAGCCCCAGGAAGGTTTTTTTGTTTGTTTGTTTTCTGCCTCACTTAGAAATTTAGAAATAGATGCATAATTTGATTTGCTTCTGAGCAAACACTCACACATTTCATTCTTGGATCTATTGAGCTCCATGTCGGCTGTTTGTGATTCCTGTGAAGTCAGCTTTGCTTTTGGCTTGGCTTCTCTCTCCCCCTCCTCAGTATTACCTGCAGATGAACATGGTCACACACACACACACACACAGAGAGAGAGAGAGAGAGAGAGAGAGAGAGAGAGAGAGAGAGAGAGAGAGAGAGAGAGAGAGAGAGAGAGGCAATCACCAGGTGGGTATATGCTATGGGAGCTGGTCCGCTTTGCTAGTTTCTGTTATGTGATTCCGTGGCTTAAAATCACTTGGGGATGAGTTAGGTTAACCTTAGCCTGAAATGTCTGCTGGGTTTCCAGTGAATCAGCACCAGAGACAAGATCAGCAAGATCTCAGTGACAGCTTTGCAAAGGCCTTCCCATGCTATGCACTCACACAGCAGGTGGTGCTGACATCCCTTTCTGTACACACAATGGTGAGGGGAGGGAGGTCTGACAGTCTACTGCAGATGCCACTCCCCCCCCCCAGCAGTGGGACAGATGACAATGCAAGTCTGGCCTCACTGTCACTGTGCGATGTTTGCCTCTGCAAAAATTGCCAATAGCTCAGTAGAAAGGAATTCCAGAGTTTTCATTTGCAGAGGATTTTAAAGTATGGTTTCCATCAAGTTAACGTTGTCTGTTGGGACAGAGGACACTTTGCCGAGTTGCTGAGTTACTGGCAGTTTGTTGGCAAAGACAAAGGTGCGATGGCGACCGAGTACTTTGAGTCACTGAAGCAGTATGGGAACCACGAAGGCGAGGAGAACATGCTATGCCTAGCCGACCTGTATGAAACCCTCGGCCGGTTTCTGAAAGACCTCGGCCTTCTCAGTCAGGTAACCTCAAGGCAGGTTGGCTCTCCATGTTTACTTGTCCCTCCTTCCCAGGAGGGGAGCTGTTTTCTTTGTGGTGCTGAGATCTGTTCTGTTTAATCGGCAGTTTAATTGCCGCGGTGATCAGCCTCTCACCTTTGTTCCCAGGCTGTGGTGCCCTTACAGAGGTCCCTAGAAATTCGGGAGACGGCGTTAGATCCAGACCACCCGAGAGTAGCCCAGTCCCTGCACCAACTGGCCAGTGTGTACGTGCAGTGGAAGAAGTTTGGGGACGCAGAGCAGCTGTACAAACAGGCCTTGGAGATCTCGGAAAATGCTTACGGCACAGACCATCCACATGCCGCTCGGGAACTCGAGGCACTGGCAACCTTGTACCATAAACAAAATAAGTAAGTCTTTGGTGGTCACAAAGGGAGTGGGTGTTTCTAATGCAGGTATGTGGTAGGCTTTGCTCTGGGGCTCTTTTCCTTATCCTATGCATCGTGTTCAGGTGGTACTGCCTGATCTTCATGGGGGACACAAAGAAAATTAGAATTCCCAGGTTTCTTGGTTTTTGTTTTCACTGAAGATGTATGAAGGCTAGAGCTGAGCTTGGAAGTAATGTAGTGTGAGGTTTGAACTCTGGCTCTTTCACCAGCCATCATTATAATGCTGAGCACGCTACTACTACAGGGACCGAGAGCCATTGCCTAGTGGCCAAGTCCAGTTTGATAAGAAGGTTTTATGGGCTTCCAGCCATGTATTTTATTTATATATTATTTGTGGTCACCTCTGCACATTACTGGAAGGTTTCGTTGGTTTTGACAGAGGTCCCATTGCCCACAAAACCTAAAATACACACCCTTTTTAGGAAATGTTGGCTGTAGTGTAACAAAAAGGCTTTCAAAGTGAGGCTGTATCTCTGCACTAGAGGGCTTGCCTAGCTGTGTGTGGCCCTGGGTGTGATCCCTGATGCTATTTGAATAGGACAGCACACTTTTTAAAGCCTTTCTACCTACTGGGTACCCACTGAGTGGACTCTCTTCCTCGCCATTTGAATAGGACAGCACGCACATTTTTAAAGCCTTTGTACCTACTGGGTACCCACTGAGTGGACTCTCTTCCTCTCTCAGAAATCCTTTCTCTTCCTACCTGGAAATTTTTCTTTTTAACTTCTGTAAGTATTGTTTTACATTAACTCTGCCTGGATTTTTGCATTTATAGCTAACCAAACTTTAGCCTGTCCAGGTAAAAGGTGCGTACTGCAAACTTAACTTTGGGATTTTCAGTATGTTAGACTGCTAGAGATTCAGATTGCATTAAGTCAGTTTAAAACAGTTAAATGTGAGCATTTTAGAGGACTGTGCGGGTTTCCTCAGAGATCTTGAACTGCGTGAGTTGCCACGAGACTCCTGTTGTATTTAATAGTTGAAACCAGCCTGTGCTGTGTCCCGCTGATTGTGTCTCCCTGAATCATGAATATGATCATGGAATATACTCCATTTCCCAACTCACCATTTTCCCTCCCCCTCTTGCCCCTCTCTTATTTTTTTTTAAAGATATGAACAAGCTGAACATTTTAGGAAAAGATCCGTTAAAATCCGCCAGCAAGCCACAAGGAGAAAAGGCAGCCTGGTAATGAGACTGTGTCCCTGTTGTCCTTTGAACCCGAGGGGAAGATGAGATCCGAATTTCATGAATGCATAAACCTCCCACTGGAGGGCTTCAGATTTTAAGTGACTTCTAGAAAGGCACTGACTGGCATTTTCCTTTTATTCATAATCACGGTCGAAAGTGGTATTGTTGAACAGCCCAACCCAGAGGGCTTTTAAGTTGTAAAACTCAGCTTAGCTTGGAAGTTTTAAATTATAAAACTCTTCCAGTTATAGACTCTGGAAGGTGCTGTTTCAAGTGACTTTGATTCTTTTCTGTGAAGGAGAGGAAATAGAAGTTTTATTAACATCTGTGAAATTCAGATGGGAAAGAATTGTTTCCCTTGAGCAAACATAATACTTTTAATGTTTCAGAGTTGCTGAAAAAAGCCTAACTATAGCATGTTTGGCATAAAATTCTCTGTCCGTGGGATAGAGGAGATAGTCAGTGAGCAAGGTGCTTGCTGTACAAACATGGGGTCCTGAGCTTGACCCCAGCCCCCACTGAAATAAGAAACAAAGGCTGGCCCATTTGTAATCCCAGCACTGGAGTGGTAGACACAGGAGGATTGCAGTCACTTCCAGTGAATGACACCATGTCTAAATCTAAGGTGGGCGGCAACTGAGGATCACACCTGTAGTTGACATCTGGCTTTCACCTGCACATGTGTGCACAGATGCACGGTTATAAAAAACTAAAGAGGACCTGCTGTTTGTATGTGCTGCAATGCATCAGGAAGCTGTTCCTAGTCTTTTCTGACGTGCTTTGACACATGCCATGCTAAAATACCTCATAACCATTTTCACAAACATGCTGCTTATTGAATTTGTGAACATGATTCCATGTAGAGATAAACACACGTGTCCCTCATAAAGTGTATATTCAATGTGCTACTTAAAATAACTATCGTCTAAAGAGAAAGGCTTTCGTTAGGACAACAGTAGATGCATCCAGAATTGAGGCTGGTGCTCAGTGGTTGCATTTCTGTGTTGCTGCAGTACGGGTTTGCCCTGTTACGCAGACGGGCTCTGCAGTTAGAAGAGCTCACCTTAGGCAAGGACAAGCCTGAGAATGCCCGCACCCTCAATGAACTGGGTGTCCTCTACTATCTTCAAAACAACCTCGAGTGAGTACTGAGGCATTCGTGTGGAGAGAAGTATCCACTGGGTTGTGTGTCTTTGGTACGAAGCTGTTTTACATGTCAATCAAGTCCTAAGTTAGAGGGGAAAAGATTTTAAAAATCTTTCCTGTTTGATGTTAGGTCCTGTTTCCTTTTCTGTCCCACGTGGCTTCCCAATATCAGTGTTACTCTGCATCTTCCCTAGAGTGGCCTTTGTGCTTGTAAAAAATGATTGCATGTGGGCATCGTGTGTGAGACTTCACAGAGGCAACTTCAAACATGCGAGGGGCCAGAAGAAACGGTGGCCCCTGCTGCTTTGCCCTTTAGTTTACGTGGACAGAAAAGACTTCACACACGTACACCTCCACTGTCCGAAAAACCAAGTGTGGTTAGGTTTCTTCGGATGTCAGAAACAGCTAGCCAATTTGAAACTTCAGAAAAAAGCAGCACATTGTTTTTCCATCCACTTCACTTAAGTTTCTTTTACTAACAATTTTTTGGTAGTGATTCCTAAGAAAACAGGAACGGATGCCAACATTTTAAATTTGTCACAGGTCTGATCACTGTAAAGGTCTTAGAAGACTGTTTCCAAAAGTATCTGTGGGTTTTTCTTTTAGGAGAAATGGAGAACTGATGCCTCATGGTGTGGGAAGGGCGGGGAGAGGTGGAGAGGTGGGTTTGGTCTGAATCCTTCACTTCAGTGTGTCTAGGAATAAAAATGTTCCGGTTACCCACATCACTAGAGCTCTAGAGATTGTTCAAGGCACGTCGGGGTTTTGTTCCTAGAACGGCAGAGCAGTTTCTGAAGCGTTCCTTGGAAATGAGGGAGCGGGTTCTGGGGCCAGATCACCCAGACTGTGCCCAGTCTCTGAACAACTTGGCGGCTCTTTGCAATGAAAAGAAGCAGTACGAGAAAGCAGAGGAGCTCTACGAGCGAGCCCTGGACATCCGGAGACGCGCCTTGGCGCCTGATCACCCTTCCCTGGCCTACACAGTGAAGCATCTCGCTATCTTGTATAAGAAAACAGTAAGTCTGCCCCACCATGACTGTGTGCTTTATAATGTACCACAGAAGCCATGACTGCAGCCAGCTACTTAGTTTGTCATTGGATGGGAGGTTATTTCAGGCGAGCTTTTTAAAACAGCATTAATTTCTAACAAATGAGAACATGAAGGTATATATTGTTTCGGAGTTAATTCAATTAAGATACTGATTTAGTTTTCTGAAAATGCATTCTAGCCATAAATCTATCAACATTGTGAATGAGTTCTTTTCAAATATAAGCTGTTTTATCAACATTATGAATGAGATCTTTTTTATGTTCCATCTTGGGAATTTTTCAAATCCTCTTACTGTACTTGCTATTGACCCAAACACACCAAGGCACCCAATGGCCAGGGCTGCTCATCTTATTTCGCTCTTCTCTGACTTTATCTACAATTAAATAATCAGTTCTTTGCCATGGGAGTAAAGTTTGGATTCTTGTATCTGTTCAAAACAAAACTTGGCCACAGTCTGCTTTGAGAGGTGTAGAGGCAGGGCTGTCACCATCTTGAGATGTTGGTGGCTCCCTTGCTGGTAGTCCCCCGGCACGGAACCTCATGTAGCAAGAAGGGAATTGCTGTTCTTTCAGGCAGCTTCTATGTTAAAAGAAATCACGGGGAAACTCCAAAAGGGACTTGGCAATTGGTGGGATGTGGTTTTATTCTGATGCCTTCATGACTTAAGTTGAGCAACAGACCTACACTGCCAGGCTTTTCTTTCACTGGGAACACTGGGTTATAAATAAAGTGCTTTCCAAGTTGTCAGGCAATGGTTGTTTTCCCAAAAGCTCCACTTCCATATTCCATTGGATTTTCAGTTGCTTGAAAATAGGTGTGACCTGCTGTAGAAAAGGCTTCTGCACCTTTACTTAATACATTTTATTTCTGGAGGAAGCTCTGGTCAGATTATCTGTGGGTTTCATGTTTTTGTTAGATTATACTTTTGTTTTTTTAGGGAAGAGTTGACAAAGCTGTACCTTTGTATGAATTGGCTGTTGAGATTCGGCAGAAATCCTTTGGCCCAAAACACCCCAGTGTAGCTACTGCCTTGGTGAACTTGGCAGTCCTTCATAGCCAGATGGTAAGCATCTACATTTCAACTATTTACAAGTGAATAATCTGAGGGTAAAAAAATATGGATACATACAGATTAATGGCACCGTAAAGAAAATATAAGGCTATTTACCAGTTAATGCTTCCTTTTTAAATACCTCAGAGTTTATTGAAGTTATATGTGTAAGCTAGTTCCTGTCTGAGTTAGGACCCCAGCCGACTGCTGAGCTCAGGTTTGCTTTTCACCTTCTGGAGATCCCTGAACCCACAGGACAGTCTCAGAGCATCTGCCCAAGGACCCGCAGGACCATCAGCAGCCTTTGGGTCGGACTGGTGCTAAGACAAGTCTGAAACTTGGAGTTCTTCCTTTCCATTATACTGCTTCTCTAGTCACAGTTATTCATCAAATAGTGCACTCTTAGGAGGATATTAGGATTTTAAAGTGCTGACCAAAGTAGGTCAGCTCAGTATAGAATACATTAATAGTCATTTCGTAAACAGTGTGTTTAAGTGAGCACTATTTTTTTTAATAAGAAAAAGCACAGTGAAGCACTGCCACTTTATGAGAGAGCATTAAAGATTTATGAAGATAGCTTGGGACGGATGCATCCTCGAGTTGGAGAAACGTTAAAAAACTTAGCTGTGCTCAGGTAAGAACTCACCCTGTTTTCTCATCCATGCCAACTCTTTAGCAACTCTGACTCATCACAGAACAGCATGAAATGTTTATTGCTGAAAGTAGCCTTTCTTTGAAGGGAGAGTAGTTGTCTTGGTCGCTTGTAGCTTCAGATCCTCAGGTGATACTCAGAAGTAGGGTGAGGAGGGCTTACTTTTTGGAGGTGTGTATTGTGGCCCACAGTGAAGATGGCTTATACTACTGACTGCCTCTGGGGTCATAAGGCCACTCACTGACCTCAGAGCCAATGAGTTAAGTGTGTGTTGAGTTTTACTCACTTCTGTGTGTTCGTCTCAGGATACAACACTTGTTAACATTTTTTTGTACCGAACCCATTACAACATGATCTTAATGATGTGCATACAAGAGATATAATTCCCCAGTGTAGATAGTTGAATTTGGGAATCCTGGCTAACTTGTCTACATATATGTGTGTGTGTGTGTGTATACATACATACATACATACATACATACATACATACATACATACATATCTCCACCTGCCTCTACTTCCCGAGACAGGATTACAAGCCTCCAACCCTATGCCCATCCATATATGAGGAAAAAGAAAGTGCAGTGGGAATGGGAAATTATTTGCAACTTGCTTTTCAGTCTCTAGGATGGCTATTTAGAAGGGAAAGCTGCTTCTTACTAATAAGTATATTTCTCATATCTTTTTCTTTCAAAGCTATGAAGAAGGGAATTTTGAAAAGGCTGCTGAACTGTACAAAAGGGCAATGGAAATAAAAGAAGCAGAGACATCACTTTTGGGTGGAAAAGCTCCTTCAAGGCAGTCATCAAGTGGAGACACGTTTATCTTTAAAACAACTCATTCTCCTAATATTTTCCTTCCCCAGGAACAAAGGTAACAGTGCCAATTTTTTTTTGCAAGAATACCTCAGGATAAAACAAACATCTGGAACATTCAAATTCAAAACAGTGTTTTTTAAAGAAAATCATTTTTCCTGCTTAGTGTTATTTAACTGGTATTCATATGAAGTTGTACTGGATTACACTGAATTGTGTACAGTTCAAATTGATTAAAGAATCCATTTTCTATGGGATGAGATCCAGGATGTAGACATCAGTACACTAATGGCATGAGAAGTGGGCTGGTCTCTGCAACAAGAGCTGGCAGGAGCCCATGGTTTAAGAATCCCATGATTCTTCTGCTCCCTGGAGAGTAGCCTCAGCCCTGTCATTCACTGGTCTTGTTCTCAGCAGGGGTCTGACCCAGCTCTCTACCTCAAAGGGCTAAAGGGGTGTTTATGAAAGGTCTGAATAGTTTTCTGTGAAATAAACTACATAGGAATTCTTGTTTTTCTTTTTCTGGGTTTTTGCGTGAGAATAAGCACACACATGTGCATGTACACATATGAAGGTCAGGGGTCCATTGCTATCCACCTTGGTTTTTGTTTTGCTTTATTTTTTGAGACGCTTTGGGGTGTTTGTGTTTTGAGACAGGGTCTCAGTGACCTGGTCCTCACTTAGCTAGGCTGACTGACCTTCCAGCATCCTGGTAACGGATCCACCTGTCTCCACCTCCAGAGACAGGATTACAAGCCTCCATCCCTATGCCCAGCTTCTAGAGGGGTTTCTGGGGATTGAACTGGGGTCCTTATGCTTACACAGCACTTTACCAACTGAGCATCTCCCCAGCCTCTTCCTGTGTGGTGTGTGAGAGTCTGTGTAGCTCAGGTTGACGGTGAACTCTTGGCCATTGCTCCTTAGCCTGCTGGGTGCTGGGATGATAGATGCATGCCACCACGACTGGCTTTGCTTTCGAGTCTTCCTTTCCCCTAAGCTGATTTAGTCAGCCCCTGCTTTCTGTGCTGTCTCCAGGGAAGTCTGTCACTGTGCTACATTGTAGTGACTGTTGGCAACCACAGGCTCTGTACCATTCTGATTTTACTGTGGCACAGGCCTGACTCCCAGCTACTCACAAGCTTAGGCAGGAGGTTCTCAAGGTCAAGGTCAGCTTAAGAGCATGGAATGAGTTCAAGGCCAGCCCAGGCAACTTAGTGAGACCTTGTCACAAAATTTAAAAAGTAAAGCTGGGGACACAGTGCATCAGACCCTGGAGTTAGTCCTCAACAACAAAAAAAAGCTGACAATTCCACTTCTTTCTAAATTGTCTAAATCAATCTTGCTTTACCTCAATTAGTTGTCACTTTTATACTGAAAATTTGTAAATATTTTTATAGATTTTATAAATATTGCCACATTAGGTATTGGGTTTTTTTTTGTTGTTGTTGTTGTTTTGTTGTTGCTTTCTTTTGTTTTGGTTTTTCGAGACAGGGTTTCTCTGTGCCTTTGGAGGCTGTCCTGAAACTCACTCTGTAGACCAGGTTGGTCTCAAACTCACAGAGATCTGCCTGCCTCTGCCTCCCGAGTACTGGGATTAAAGGCGTGCCACAACTTCTCGGCTTAGGTATTTTTTATTTGTATATTTATAGTAAAATTTTCATAAATTTTACAAGATCTCAATATGTATTGTAATAAATATGACACGGAAATTGTATTCCATTTTTAAAATAAAAGTGCAATTGCTAAGTTCTCTTTTTTGTACTTTGTACTATACGGTTACATTTTGCATTATTATTTAAAAATAAACATTGAACATGTTTTAGCAGACTTGAATATTGGCCAAGTTTTCTCAGTAGTTTGATCAAGTTGAAGACCTCTGGTGACGGAAGGCTGGGCCCAGTGTCATGCAACTTCCTGGGTAATGCCATAGTCAGTGTCACTGCCACCTAGACCTTACAGTCAGAATGGGAGGTCTCGCCCTGAGCCCTCTCAGAGGCAGCCTGAGAGCTAGGCGGCCAGGTAACTCCTGAGCTTCTGAGTTTGAGGAGCACTGCTAAAATCTAGACGCTATTATGGTAACTTAAATTAGATAAGAATGTACAAAATAAGCATTCTTCCAGCTTTTGGGGGCAGTTCAAGGTTCAGGAGGAAAAAAGCTAAAATATGATCGCAACCTTTTGAGGTTTGCCCCTCTGTGAAAGGTACAAATAATTGAATTCACAAACATATTAGACATTGATTTTACAACTAACTTAAAGTCTGATTATTTCACGATTAACAAACCAAAAGTATAGTATTAAGTTTACCACCTTAAAAAACTTCAATAATCTGTGATCAGTACTCTAAAAGAATCTCCAAAAAAGCAAAATATTCTTTGTTCTTCCAAAATTTAGATTTGAGAACTATACAAAAGCATTTTTAAAACTGAAGTGTTGTGGATGGAGAGATGGCCCAGCAGCCAGATAAGAACACTGACTATTCTTCCAGAGGACCTTGGTTCAATTCCCAGCACCCACATGACAGCTCACAGCTGTCTGTAACTCTAGTTTCAGGGGATAAGACACTTTTACACCAATGCACATAAAATAAAAAATAAAATTAACAAAAATTAAAGTGTTAAGTGACTTTGACACACATTATAACTATGGTGGTCACTCTATAAATCTCAAGTTAAGTGTGTAACAGAATTATTATTTTAGCTATTATTTTTATCTCATTATTTACTGTACTAACAATATGTTCTTTGCCTTCATGAGAAAGCCTAAGATAAAAGCAACTGCAACATTTATATGTAGATCTATAATTCCAACAATAAGATTATGTTCACGTTAACATAGAGTGATTCTCAGATTATGTTAACATACTTGATTCACAAATTATGTTAATGTTAACACAGATGCGATTCTCAGATTATGATAACATTAATATACACCTCAACAGCAAAATGGTCCTTTTCAGACAAGCCCCTCATAAACAATTTGTAGGAACCAAGTTTTGCTATAACTTGTCTTCAGTCCTTTACAGAAAAGGAAATCTAAAATACAAAAATGTGATTTGAGGCAGTCAAAACTTCTCTGACATAGTCTTAGAGTCACTGCCTTCTCCTATTGGTGCACATGTTTATGGGTATCAGGGAGTGTTTTTTATGAGAAGAAAATACAAAATCCTGAGCAGAACCACAGACTACCTTTCTGTTAACAGTAAGAAACCAAGTGATGAACTGTTTTACTACCACTGGATTCTAGAGTCACTATGTTAAAACAATATTGGGACTGCTTGCCTTTCTCATTAGGATTCATAGCATTTACAAATCGGGCCAAACCTCTAGGTGGTAATTCACAACTTGTTGGTGTTAATTCCCATCCATTGCCTGCTGCCGTTACTTATTCTCTTGGCTATGAACTATGGGGAGAGCAATATGGGATCAACAGGTGCCTGCTGCCATACTTTACTTAGTTATTTTTGAGATGATAATCCAGTAGTTTTCTAATGACAGATATCTGGTACAGCCTAAGATAGCAGAAAGAGCAGCTCTTTAGGAGACAATGGATTCTATGTATTGTGCCTTAACCAAACCTGAAAGTTCAACAATTCAGGAACCACTATTTCTTTTTTTTTTTTTTTTTTTTTTTTTTTTTTTGGTTTTTCGAGACAGGGTTTCTCTGTCCTGGAACTCACTTTGTAGACCAGGCTGGCCTCGAACTCACAGAGATCCGCCTGCCTCTGCCTCCCGAGTGCTGGGATTAAAGGCGTGCACCACCAACGCCCGGCTAGGAACCACTATTTCTAAAGAATTATTCTGAAATTTTTTTCATTTAAAAAACGTAAAACATGTCTAGTGATTTGAAAAGTTATTTTCCAATCTAATATGTTAAGTTCTGTAAAAATATTTATAAAAATTATCAAGGCAACATAAATATAAGTTTCAAAGCTAGGCACATTCCCTTCTCCACTTCACTATAAACATAAAAAAAAATCACATATAATCCTACAATCTCAAAGCTAGTACATTAAATTTATGCCTGGAGTTGCTCTTTACAACTTGGTTTTACAAGTAAGGAATGATACTTTTAACTTTTGCTAACATTTCCCAATACACACAACTTAGACATTCATAAAAATTTAGCTTCATATCTTCAAGGTAAAGATCATCAATAATTCACGTCAGTCATCAATTGACAATTTTAGTGGTCACAGTTGGGAAATGGAACCCCTTGCAAAGAACAAATACCAGTCAGTCACTGCAGAGGCAATTAATTTCGAGTTCTTCATTTTGCCCACTATTAAGGGCAAGCTTTCCTAACATCTCTGTTTAGGGAATCGAGTTGAAATGAAATACCAGTGTACATGGTCTGGACACTGCATTCATGCCTGCTCTTTGGCAGCATGGTGACTCCAGTCTGTTACAAAAGGCAATGCCTTTCCCTCAGTCACTGAAAATTAGAATACAGTTGATGTCTTTTCCCGAATGTACTCGTCTGCCCACAAAGACAGCTTGTGCTTATCTCACATATTTAACTCACAGGTTTACACACTGCCAATGAAGAAAATATCCTGCTTGTACTCATGGAGAAACATCTGAAGGGGTGTTTTATTGTATGGGCTGACTGTCTGAAGTCACTCCTGGTCAGATTAGCAGTAGTGGGTAACGGTAGGAAGCCATTTGTACTCTAAGACACTTCCCAGCCACAACCGCCACCCTCCCTCTGTACTACTTATAGTCCAGGGCCTCAGTCCATCAACAGGGAATTAATTACTGTACAGGAAATTATGAATGGGACTGGCTCAGCTCTCCTTTCTGTAGGAGCAACACTGATTCAGTTGTAGAGGGAAGCAAGCAACCACGTGTTCCACACAGCATGACAACTCAGGAAAGATTCACATGCCAGTGATTCACAGGCAGCCCTAAGTTTTATTAGTTCTGATTTTTTTTTTCAATTCCAAGGGAATAGAATAAGCACAGAAAATAAAACAAATGCCAGTCCACTGTCTACATGTTCTTCATCCTGGCCATGAGATCTTCCAAGCTTTCACTAGAATCTTCCACTGTTACTTCAGAAACCGAATCCTCTTGCTGTCAACAAAAGGGGGATGCAATGAAAACAGAACCATACAAAACTGCTTTTTCTTAACTGTTTGTTTTACCCATGCTCACCGTGCTTAAAAAGCATATTCTTCTCCGATACATTTTGAAATATTTAGGGAAGAAATAAAGTTCTTTATATTCCCCACCTAAACTTTGTTTAAGAGGTAACAACTTCAATATTCTTGGCATTTCTACTGAGTGTACTTTTAATATAAAATTACACATCCTTGTAGTGGATCATGAAGTTATGGTATGTGTATATACTGTGTATATATTGTATGATATGTGTATGTATTATCACACCAGGATAAGCCTATCTCCTCAAATCATTTCTTTGTAATTGGAACATTCAAAAGTCACTCTGTCTTTCTGAACATACAACGGTGACTACCACAGCCACCCTTCTGTGACAGTCACCAGAGCTTAGTGTTCCTAATTAGTTGTAACTCACAAGCTGCTACCCAGCCTTCTCCACTCCTCCCCCTGCTCACCCTTGGGAGCCCTACTCCACTCTGTAACATCAAACCTTTTATTAGAGTCCACATATGAGTGAGATCATGGTGTTTGTCCATCTGTGCCAATCTTAATTTAATCACTTCCAGTTCCATCTGTCTTATCACAAATGACAGGTTGTCATCCTCTTATGGCTCAAAAGTGTTCCTCTGTGTGTGTGTGTGTATGTGTGTGTGTGTCT